ATGGGGGCTACCGGCTTCATGGTTTGCTGGGCAGCCTCCAGACCCTGGGCCCCCGGCTGGGCGCTTCCCCTCCCGGGCTCCAGCTGCGCTGGGGAAGCGCCGGCCGGGGGCGCAGGGTCTGGGGGCTGCCCGGCAAACCGTGAAGCCGGTAGCGCTCGGGCAGCCCGTTTCGCGTGGCTGGGAGGGAGGAGGGGGAGTTAGGGCGGGGACTTTGGGTAAGGGGCGGGGAAGGGGTGGAGTTGGGGCGGGGGTGGGAAAGGGGCGGGGCCAGGGCCCCGTGGAGTGTCCTCTTTTTTTATTTTTTTAATATGGTAACCCTAGACACTCCTGGAAGAAGAAATGGATTTTGCAGCTTTGGAAAAATCTTCAAAGTTGACACTGAACATATGCAGTATTAGCTTAACCAACTACGTCTGAGGAGCCTCCCACATCAGGAGGGGTGAATGAAGCAGTCCTCGGAACTCTCCTTTTTTTATTCTTTTAAAAAATGTGATTAAATGACAATCTAACTAACTATAAAGAACATTTGCCTCCAAGGGGCAGAAAAAAACCTGAAAAATTGATGAGGAAAGTGTCAGGAAATTGCATGTGATCCAAGCTTGCTCCATCTTCAGTGGTTAGAAGGAACTGAAGGGCGGTGGGGCCATGCCAGTTTTATACTCCTGAATTTGATATTCCTGCGTGTACCCCAGAATTTGATAGTACTGTAGTCAGCCATCTTGTGTGTTAGCCACTGTCAGCTGAAAACCAAACATCACAGAGCTAGGATAATCTTAGGCCCTGAGAGGCAAAGCCAAATAGCTGCACGTTTGCAGTTTTTCTATCAGAATGGGAGGTTGGGACAAGAAGTGAAGGTCCCATTAAAATAGGGGGAATGTTTAGACAAAGACCTTGGTTTTAGGTGCCTCTAATTTGGAAGTTTATTGTTATTATTAGAAATGCTTTGCTGCTAAGGAGAATAATGAACTGTTATTGTCTGTTACTAGGGAAATTGTTAGACTGTTAGAGGCTATTATGAATTATGTGCTTTGTCTGGAGAAAATTTATAAAAAATGTAGTAGAAAGGGTACTTTGGAGCAGTTTGAGGAAGTTTTCTTTGGGCAAGGATCTGATATCTAAGTTCACCAGCAGCTATATAGAAGATGGAGCCCCCCTGAAGCCTAGCCGCTGATTCCTCAAAACTATCTCTTAGATTTAGGTAAATAAAAATATTTTGAGATGCTCTAAACCTACTGCAACAACATATGTATGGGTGTGCTTGAGATCTAAAAAAGAAAAAGGAGTTTTAGGTGAAAGCAAAGACAGTTCCCTTTTCCATAACTGGTGTTCTTCGAGATGTGTTGCTCATGTCCATTCCATATTAGGTGTGTGTGCTCGCCACATGCACTGGTGCCAGAACTTTTTCCCTCAGCAGTATCCGTAAGGGACGGGCTCTAGCGCCCTCTGGAGTGGCGCCCACATGGCACAGTATTCCACATGCCACTCCAGAGATGGGGTGACCAGAACTGCACTCAGTATTCAAAGTGTGGGCATACCATGGATTGATATAGTTGCATTATGATGTTTTCTGTCTTATTTCCATCCCCTTCCTAATAATTCCTAACATTGTTAGCTTTTTTGACTGCTGCTACACACTTAGAGGATGTTTTCAGAGAACTATCTATAATGACTCCAAGATCTGTTTCTTGAAAACAGCTATTTTAGATCCCATCATTTTGTATGAATAGTTGGGACTATGTTTTCCAATGTGCATTACTTTCCATTTATCAACACTGAATTTCATCTACCATTCTGTTGCCCAGTCACCCAGTTTTATGAGATTCCTTTGTAACTCTTTGCAATCTGCTTTGGACTTAGCTATCTTGAATAATTTTGTGCCTTTTGCAAATTTTGGCACCTCACTGTTTACCCCTTTTTCCAGATCATTTATGAATATGTTGAACAGCACTGGTCCTGGTACAGATCCCTGGAGGATACCGCTATCTACCTCTCTCCATTCTGAAAACTGACCATTTATTCCTACCTTTTGTTTCCTATCTTTTAACCAATTACTGATCCATGAGAGGACGTTCCCTCTTATCCCAGGACTGCTTACTTTGTTTAAGAATCTCTGGTGAGGGATTTTGTCAAAGGCTTTCTGACAGGCCAAGTACACTCCACTGGATCACCTTGTCCAGATGTTTGTTGACTCCCCTCACACTACACTCACACATTGAATATTACATAAATTGGTGAGGCATGATTTCCCTGTTCAAATGCTGTGTTGACTCTTCCCCAACCAATCCAGTTCATCTAGGTGTCTGATAATTCTGTTATTTACTACAGTTTTAATCAATTTACCTGGTACTGAAGTTAGGTTTACTGGCCTGTAATTGCCAGGATCACCTCTAGAACCCTTTTTTTTTATTAGCAATCCTTCAGTCATCTGGTACAGAAGCTGATTTAAAAGATAGGTTACATACCACACTTAGCAGTTCTGCAATTTCATATGTGAGTTCCTTCAGAACTCTTGGGTGAATACCATCTTGTCCTGGTGTCTTTTTACTGTTTACTTTATCAATTTGTTTCAAAACCTCCTCTACTAACATCTCAATCTGGGACAGTTTCTCAGATTTGTCACCGAAAAAGAATGACTTAGGTGTGGGAACTTCCCTCACACCTCTGTAGTGAAGAACGATGCAAAGAATTAATTTAGCTTCTCCACAATGGCCTTATCTTCCTTGAGTGCTCCTTTAGCACCTTGATCATTCAGTGGCCCCACTGATTGCTTGGCAGGCTTCCTGCTATTGGAGTACTTTAAAAAAAAATTACTTTTAATTTTTGAATCTTTGGGTAGTTGCTCTTCAAATTCTTTTTTGGCCTGCCTAACTGTACATTTACACTTGATCTGTGAGAATTTATTTATTTTTCCTCAGTAGGATTTAATTTCCAATTTTTAACGGATGACTTTTGGCCTCTAACCGCTTCTTTTACTTTGTTGTTTAGCCATGGTAGCACTTTTTTGGTCCTCTTACTATGTTTTTTAATTTTAATTTGGGGTATACATTTAATTTGAGCCTCTATTATGGTGTTTTCACTTTTGTGACTGTACCTTTCAACTTCCATTTAACTAGCTTCCTCATTTCTATGTAGTTCTCCTTTCTGAAGTTAAATGATACTGTGGTGGGTTTCTTTGGCATTTCCCCCCATACATGAATGTTAAATTTAATTCCACTATAGTTGCTATTACCAAGAGGTTCAGCTATATTCATCTCTTGGACCAGATCCTGTGTGCCACTTAGAACTAAATCAAAAATTGCCTCTCCCCTTGTGGGTTCCAGGACTATCTGCTCCAAGAAGCAGTCATTTATGGTGTCAAGAAGCTTTATTTCTGCATCTCATCTGGAGGTGATATGTACCCAGTCAATATGGGGATACTTAAAATACCCCATTATTACTGAGTTGTCTATTTTTATAGCCTTTCTTATCTCCCTGAGCATTTCACAATCACTATCCTGGTCAGGTGGCCGGTAGTATATTCATATTGCTATATTTTTATTATTCAAGTATAGAATTTCTAGCCATAGAGATTCCATGGTACAGTTTGATTCACTGAAGATTTTTATTATATTTGACTCTATCCTTTCTTTCACATATAGTGCCACTCCCTAACCAGCACAACCCACTCTGTCATTCTTATATATTTTGTACCGTGGTATTACCATGTCCCATTGATTATCATCATTCCACCAAGTTTCTGTGATGACAATTATATCAATATACTCATTTAATACAGGGCACTCAAGTTCAGCGATCTTAGTATTTAGACGTCTAGAATTTGTATACAAGCACTTACAAAATTTTAGCTGTCTACCACTATATGATGTAATTGAATGAAACTCTTATTCACCCATGAAAGCTTATGCTCCAATACATCTGTGAGTCGATAAGGTGCCACAGGACTCTTTGTTGCTTTTTACAGATCCAGACTAACACGGCTACCCCTCTGATGCTGTCATTTCACTTTTTCTCTTCAGTTCCTACCTGTACTTTATCAACTTCCATCCTCACCTTCTTAGTAGGAAATAGAGAATCCCCATTAATAAATCCTTCCTTAAGGGATGTCTCTTTCTGAACTATGTGCTCCTCCACAATTGCTGGCTTTCCCCCAGCCCTTAGTTTTAAAACTCCTCTACAATCTTTTTAATTTTACTTGTCAGCAATCTGACAAGTTCCATTTTGGTTTAGGTGGAGTCCATCCTTCCTGTATAAGCTCTTCCTTTCCCAAAATGTTCCTAATAAACCTTAACACTTGCTTCCTACACCACTGTCTCATGCATATCAAGAGTTTTAGCTGTGGCAGTTTACAAAAATAGTATCAATGTTTATTAGACTTTTATTGTAAGAATTATTTTTCCTCCTGCCAGTTAATCAGTTCCAGCTTTTTATATAACACCCATAAGCATAAAAAAATAGATTTCCAACACTCTTCAGCCAGGCCCTCAGTGTGTCACTGAGAAATCCAGAAAATAGTTCACATATCCCTTCCAAACCAGTAACACTCTCTCTTCCTTTACCCTGGTGTATAGTAATTACTTTGTAATCTGCCCAATACACAGCCTTATATACATGAGTAAATATCCACCTCTGCTTTGGCATTTGATTAGTAGCACCAGACACTTATTACAAAGCAGAAGTAGGCGACAATTTAAGTATTGTGCTCTAAGTATTTAAATATTATGCAGGGATTCATTGTATTCACTGAGACAGTGCAAAATACTGCATAGTAATTTGTGATTGGAAGAAAGGAAATATCTGCAGCTGCTACAATGACAATACAGTTAAAGCAGAGAAGATTCCACTCCGTGTGTACCTCCACCCTACAACCAGTCTATCTAATTAGCCTTCTCACAGACACTCACTTGGCCAGTATCTCTGGCTTGATCAGAATATTAAAGTAAGTCTTTTTTAGCTGCTCTGTTATCATCTCAAAAACCGCTGGAGTAAAACTGAAGTCAGACAACTGGTCAATGATGAGCTGAAATAGCAGCTGGAAAGAAAATAAAATATTGTTTTCTGAACCATTTTTACCAAATAGAAGAATATTTTTTGCCAAAGAGGATTATTTTGAATTATATTTTATATAAAAAGGAGACATCTAATAATCCATGGATCAACATGAACTGCACTGTATAGATCTATTAAACATTCTAATAAGGTCCTGAATAAATACATTAATTGGTTAAGAATAAGCTACCAATTGCCAGGACATCTCACGCTCATAGCATTCAGATCAATGAAGAATTTTGTTAAATCGGTTAAAAGAAAATACACTATTTCTTATATAGCTAATTTTTAATAATGTAAAATGCATTAACAGTTTGTTTTATTGCAATGTTATAAATTAAATGCATAAAACTCAGGAAATGAAAGGTTCTCCTAGTGTCAAACTCACCCACACTGCACAAATATTTTGACTGCTGTGTTTGTAATTTAGGTTAATTAATGCAGTATTGCCAACTTCAAGAGATCAAAACTCATGAGACAGACACACAAAAATCATGAGATTGGCTCAAAAAATCCTGAGTTTTTAAAAAAAGATTACATTGTGTTTTTTAGGTCTGTCCTTTGAGTTTTGAATTCCCCCTGCCATGTGCGCTCATGCGCCTGTGTGCATGAATGCATTTTCCCTTCAAGACCTTTTCCACTCAGTTTATCCAGAACACCTTGTTCAATTCTGGGAGAAGACTTCATCCAGTTCTCTGGGATCCAAAAAACTTTATTTAACTCTAGATTTCGTCAGTCAGGTTCCTTTATTTGGCGTACAGCAAAGCTACACTGAGTTCATCAGACTCAAGTGTACAGTGTGGGTATAGGGAGTACCAAGCATCCAATGTTACACAGAAAACGTCTTTCTTTATATACATTTACACATTACATTGCATCACACATTTTGGGATTGACTTGGTTACTTTTCAGGAACCAATCCATGTGCAGCATGCTCTGTAATGCATTCTCCACACTCGAACTACTCTGTACCTTCTCTCTACATTCCTAACTTATCTTTTCCACTGTTAGTAAATGGTTTCCTGGGTGTTCTCCCTCTTACCTTAGCTGGCTCAGATATTCTGTCTTCTTAGCCTACTAACCTAGTTACTGATCTTATTTAGTACATTCTGTTTTCAGCCTAATGATCTGTTTACCTTCCTAACTCTATCCTCCAAGAAATGAGGCCTCCCTTCACATATTAATTACTCAAGACAGGCCAGACCTCAGCTACAGCGAGTGTGTGCATGTAAGAGAGAGAATTAGTGTTGCCCACTCTTGCAAATGTATAGGGTAAGGTGATTTTGGCCCTTGCTGCAGGAGCTCTCACCCCACGTCCGCCCATCCCCTGCCCAGCAATTAATCCTTTCCCCCATCTCCCCATTAGTTCTGTCCCCACCAAGTTCAGCCCCCCCATCAGTCCCCAGCCTCCTCAGTTCAGCCGCCACAACCCATTGCCCACCACCACTTTTGCTCCTCCTAGGGTTTTCACCCTCCTCTCCCAGGCCTGGGGGGGAGCTGTAGCAGGGTTCCGTCTTCCCCTTTGCAGACTAAGGGGGGCAAGCTCCAGGGTTCTTTACCCCCTTCTGCCCTTCCCAGGCCGGGTGCAGTGGGGGGGGGAGAGGGGGAAGGAGGAGCAAAGGTGCTGTCCTGTCCATTTTTCTCACAGAAGGGGAGCAAGGGAAGGAGCCAGAGCTGCCCTGAGCTGCTGGACTCTTTGCTCCCTCCTCCATCCCTGTGAGAATGGCAAGTGGAGGGAAGAGATTCTGTCCGCTTTTGGCAGACTGAACTTCAGGAGGGGGCTGGAGGTTATCACAAGACAAACTCCAGCACCTTGTGAAATCCCATCATGCACAAAAAGAAAAAAATCATGGGAGCTGGAACTACTGTTAACATTACCAAGAAAATAATTGTTTCAATATGTAAGGATCCTGTCATAAGCGGCTGCATTTGCAACTGATCTTCTACATCACCGGTTGGTGGAGTTCATCCTATATCAAAGATTCTTCATGTGGCTAGGGAACCCTGTCATATTGAGCAAATCAGCATCAGTCACCGGCACCAGCGGGTGCAACAGAAGAGCAGTTGAGAATACACCTGTTGACAACAGGAGCTATACTTAGCCGGGCAATGGCGGCAGCAGCAGCCAGCAACTGATATGCCCATGCAGCCTACCAGGCATTGCCTGTTGCCCACCAGCCAATGCATCACCATGCTCCTCCCTTGACCCAGATCTGCTCCTCTCCTGATGGTAGCTCACCCTTCTTGCTCTCTTCTATGTTGTGTTCTTTGCCTCCCACTCCAACTTCACGTGACATGGGGTATCTATACCTCCCCACAGATCCCCCTCACCATTTGCCTTGGTCTCTAGGACACTCCTACAATCAGAGGGGAACTTGCATCTTGTCCATCTTTGTCTGGAGGGGCTAAGCAGAAGCCACAGCTGTTTGAGGAGTGCACCAGCTGTGCTCCTACTGCAGTCCCCCTAGTGGAGTCGCCCCTTCTAATTTTCTCCCCCAAATCTCCATGGCCTTCAGACCTTATCACTGGGCACATACCTTTAAAAAAAAACCTCATCCCAAAAGATATTAATACGATTACATTTACACACACATCACAAAAAGACATGGTCAGTATTTACAAAAAGCTATGAAAACTTAAATTATAATTAAGGTTGTTTATAACTCCACATATCCAGTGCTTTAACGTGAAGAAAATTAGAAGTTAAAGTTCTTCACACCTGCATACTTAGCTATTTGAAAAACACAAAGTATATAGCTTTTCAATAAGAGTTCTAAGGCATTACATAATGGGATATAATCACATATCTATTAAATAAACAAACATTCAAATATTTTTAAGGAAAGCTGAGTGTGTGTGTGCGCGCAAATGCATACAATAAAGAAGGTAGAGGTTTAATGTCTACATCATATTTTCTGTTATTTGGTATGGTATATAAATATTAAACAACTGTGAGGCACCTTTCAAAACGACAACTTTCCTTACAAAACATTTAAAATACTTCTGCCTCTTTATTGTGTTCACATGCTCAGCTGCCCTTCTCCTGTCTCAAGCTCCATATATCTCAGAGAGCAAAGATGGCAATTTCCTGATTCATTGTTAGTTTGCTATTACATGACAAAGATATCCTAATCACTCCATGCAACTAAAAAATAATCTTTTTTAAAATTTTGGTTAAGATAAAATAAAGTATGTCAGATTTTGTTACTTTCAGATTCTTTTAATTGGATTTTCATGTCCCAATACACCAAAGAGACTAGTTCTTTCTCCCTTCCTACTCACTCATTATCAATCTTTGTCACAATGTCTCCCTGCTAACCTGCAAATCTGCACTCACTGATCCTGCTGGTTTCTGAGCGACTCAGCAGGAAGTCCATCAGATAACTGAATGCATCAATAAACAGTTGCAAAACCATTAATAGATTAATTGAAATTAAGACACCAATATTTCAGGCCTTTGAGTTGTTTAGAAAGTGACATTCAGCAAAAGGCTAGTTGGTGTGTAGTAAGGAGGACATAGCAGTGGTACTTACAGGTAGTTTATGATTGAATCCTTTCACTCGAATGACCAAACCATGCTCTCCAGATACCAGTTTATATTCCAACTGAGCAACATCGGCTTCATATGCCGGTTCAGCAAGGTTGTGAGAAAGGATATTTACAAAAGTCTCAAAAAGTACCACACTGTATGAATGAGGAAAGTGAGGGTGGGAATCAATAAGGGAGAGTGAAAAGAAACAGCCTTAAAGTCAATAGGTTTGAGCCTTAAAGTCAATAGGTTTGAGAGTACACAGATAAAAAAAAGTGTCCAATAGAAATAAACTATTTCACTGGGCAGCTAAAAACATTTAAAATTTAGAATGTAAAACACAGTACAAAAACATTTATTTTTCTACAGAGATTTTTTCCCCTGGGTAAAGCAAAAACCTGAAACACGGGGTTCTGTATTTCTCTTTATTCAGCAAGCACACAAAACTACTTAGTAGTTTTTTGGGGATTAAATTTAAAATCTTTTTAGATCAAAAGAAAAACTTATTCAAATTACAAAGTATTTCAGGATAGTATAACAATCAACCTGACTCTACTGCAGGATATGTGGGTTAAAACCTAACTGGTATAAATAATGGATTTTTTTAGGCAACATGACAGCTTTCAGTAAAATTTGTTTGTTGAATATTAGGGTGTTAATACAGAAAATTACGTGTTAATGCTATTTATGTAAAGGCATTTGGGAGACTCACAGTTTTATTTAGCATTGGAAGTGCTATAATGGAGAATTAATATGTACAGAATCATAAACTCCAGAGGAGAAGAACAAAAATGTAGGTTTAGAAAACATGACCTACAAGGAAAGGTTGAAAGAATTGGGCATGTTTAGTTCAGAGAAGAAAAGGATAAAGAAGACATGATAACAGATTTCAAATATGTAAAAGGTTGTTATAAAGATGACGGTGACCAATTGTTTTCCATGTCCACCGAGAGTAGGACAAATAGTAATTGGCTTAATTTTCAGCAAGGAAGATTTAGGCTGGATATTAGGAAAAGCACTGTCACCATAAGAATAGTTAAATCCTGGAATAAATTACCAAGGGAGGTTGTGGAATCCCCATCATTGGAGGTTTTATGTACAGATTAGACAAACACCTGTCAGGTATGATCTAGGTATACTTAATCTAGCCTCAGCACCAGGGATGGACAAGATGACCTCTTGAGGTCCCTTCCAGCCCTACATTTCTGTGATTTCTATGATCTTGAGGTTTGTTTCATTCAAAGGAAGATCTATGGGTTGTTGTTTTTTAAACCTGCAGAGGAATTTTAACTGATAATACTATACTACAATTATAGTTGTATCTTATTCTGTAAGACAGATAAGATCAATCTTTACCTCTTTGCAGACTGCTGTATCAGTGGGGAGATCAGATGGAAACGTATGTAAGCTGAAATTTGAAAAAGGTTGACATGAGCAACTGTAGAAACAATGGCAGCTTCAAACATGTAAGTATTTTTTTCTCCAAACCATTTCTTATCCCCAGTTAATTTTCTATGAACTACATATAAATGGTTATTCAGAGATGGTATTTTTATCTGTATTAAGTTATCACCATAGAAATTTTAGCCCTCCAACACTTACTCAATATAATCTTTTTAACTGAAGATTTAAAGAAAAGCATAAAGTTGTACTTCACCTTGCAAAACATTGCTTTATATTACAGGATACTTAAGGAGCACACATTTTTGGTGACAACAGCTATAGTACTTATACAGGATAAAAGTACTCAGGGCAAGTACCATATCTTTGTATGGTTTCAGAGTAGCAGCCGTGTTAGTCTGTATCCGCAAAAAGAACAGGAGTACTTGTGGCACCTTAGAGACTAACAAATTTATTAGAGCATAAGCTTTCGTGGGCTACAGCATGCATCCGAAGAAGTGGGCTGTAGCCCACGAAAGCTTATGCTCTAATAAATGTGTTAGTCTCTAAGGTGCCACAAGTACTCCTGTTCTTTGTATGTTTGCTTACATAAATTAATTTTACACTTTTCTTTCTAAAACAACCTAAAGATGCTGTACAACAAAAAAACCCCTATAATTATACATACCCTATTTTAAAAAGTTTCTCACTGAAAATTAAAATGTCATGTTTCTGAGCAGAACAGCAAAAATGGGAACAGTTTTCATGTTTATCGGCTCTCAAAGATTCCAGATCACATTTCCTCAGTTTACAGGGGGAAAAGAGAAGTTGGTTTGGTTTTGGTTTTTTAAAACTACTAGGCCTCCAAACTCAAGGTTAGTTCTTTCCCCCTCAGGCACTGTCACCTGTAAGATGCTTTTGGTGCCAAATTCTGCCCCTAGTTACTCCATTAGAAGAAACAACATCTGTCAAGCAATTATTAAACAGTGGTATCAGAGATACTGCAGATTCTCCCTGTACTAATAAGAAAAAACAGTAGCATCAGCTATAATGTCACTGTATTAGAGGTACATTATTTTTAACAATCTATACACCTCTACCCCGATATAATATGAATTCGGATATAACGCAGTAAAGCAGTGCTCCAGGGGGGCGGGACTGCGCACTCCGGCTGGTCAAAGCAAGTTCGATATAATGCGGTTTCACCTATAACGCGGTAAGATTTTTTGGCTCCCGAGGACAGCGTTATATAGGGGAAGAGGTATACTTCTATAGCACTTACTATTTAGCATTCTCAAATCTCTTTACAAACATTAATGGGCTACACCTCACAACAATCCTGTGAGGAAGGTAAGTGTTATCTACATTTTATATCTGGTGAAATAAGACCCAAACGGTCTTATAGCTCGACAGATGGAGCGGGACTGTCGAATGGGACTCCTTCCAGGACCTTCTCGCGATTGATCCACCACTGCAGCGAGGTGAGAACTGTCGGGGAAATGGTGACGATCTTTTTCAGGTGGTCCCTGGATTGGGAATAGGTCGACGCCAGCCATTGCTGCAGGGGCTGCATGTGGAGCCTGGCATGGCGGACCACGTATGTGCAAGCTGCCATGTGGCCTAGCAGGCGCAGGAACACCCTGGCCATTGTCAGGGGAAATGTGGACACTTCCGCGATGAGGTCCGTCAGGGCCTGAAACCTGTCTAACAGCAGGAACGCTCTCGCTCGGGTCGAGTCGAGCACGGCCCCAATGAATTCTGTCCTTTGAACTGGCACTAACGTGGACTTTTTGTGGTTCACCAACAGTCCCAAGGAGCGGCATGTGACTTGTAGTACAGCGACGTTGCATTGGACATGAACCTTGAAGCTGCCTTTGACCAGCCAGCCGTCGAGGTACGGGTAAATCTGGATACCCCGACACCTGAGGTAGGCTGCGACTACCGTCATGCACTTGGTAAACACCCTTAGCCAGGCCAAACGGAAAGGCCACAAACTGGTAGTGGGCCGAACCCACTGTAAAACGGAGAAAGCGACTGAGTCCTGGGAAGATTGCTATGTGAAAGTATGAGTCTTTCAGGTCGAGGGCAGCATACCAGTCTCCTGGATCCAGGGAGGGAATAATGGAGGCCAGAAAGACCATGCGAAACTTTAGCTTCTTTAGGTATCTGTTGAGGTCTCACAGGTCCAGAATGGGATGCAGACCACCCTTGGCCTCAGACCCTTGGGATCAGAAAATACCAGGAATAGAAACCTCCTACACCACCGCAGCTGTAAGAGCCCCTGAACCTCTTACTCGAAAAGACTCTCGTGAGAAGGGTCCCTGAAGAGGGATGGGGGAAGGGGGGGTGGAAATAAATTGGAGAGTGTAGCTGTGCACCACTGTACTGAGGACCCAGTGGTCCAAAGTTATCGCCGACCACGCTGGGAGGAAAAAGGAAAGGCGGTTGCAAAAAATTGGGAAAAATCGGATCCAGAGAATAGACTGGGAGGTCACCCTCAGGCGTACCCTCAAAACGACTTTTTAGCTCCCTGGGGTAGTTGTGGTTTGAACTGCTTATGTGCCGGGCCCGGAACGTAGAGTCCCAGGGCTTTCAAGGTTGTTCGGGGTCCTTAAGCCCACGTAATTTATTGTCCATCTGCTCTGCAAATAGGGTGACCAGACGTCCCAATTTTATCGGGACTGTCCCGATATTTGCTTCTTTGTCCCGCGTCCCGACCGATGTTTGGTCAGGAAACTGGACAAACAAGAAATTTTGCCCTCCCAGAGGGACTCTCGCCCGCCCACCCCGGCTCCGCCCCCTCCTCCCCCCATTGGCTCCCTCCCCAAATCCCCGCCCTGGCCCCGCCTCTTCCCCAACCACGCGGCATTCCTCCTCCCTTCCAGGCTTGCAGCTGCATGGCGGTGCAAGCCTGGAGAGAGGGGGTGGCGGCGGCGGCACCTGGATCCTGGTGCTAGTGAGTCAGCTCCAGCACCCGGGCACCGGGCGGGCGGGCAAAGAGGGGCTGGCAAGGGAGGGAGGGAGACGGGGGGGGCTCAGCTCTGAGCCCCCCGCCGCGCCAGAGGGCTCCTGCCCGGCCCCCGGGCCACTGCACAGGGAGGGCCCGAGGCTGGGAGTGCAGCGCGGAGGCTGCTCCAGCCCTGCAGCCCGCGGGGCAGTGCGGTGGGGTCCGGGCGGGAGCAGCGCGGAGCGGGCAGGGGCCGGGTGGGCGGCGCGGGCCGAATCCCCGCTGCTGCCGGGGAGCCCCGCGCCTCTCCCTCCCGCTCTCGGCTGCGCTGCGCTCCAGTGGCTGCGGCTCCTTCCCGGCAGGAGAAAAAAGAGGAGCTACAAGTCCGAATTCTAAACAAATTGCCAGTACTATTTAGGTGCCAGTACTATTGCATAGGAAAACTTTGTTTTGCACATTTTGTTTAATACACCAGCGAATGGGGGTTACCTTTGGGGATTTTGAATTTATTGTCCTTCTTGTACCACACACAGCCGTGGTGTGTACTCAGAATTTTGACTGGGTGCTCCGTGTCAGGCCAATCAGATGCCTTCAGAGCGAAGTCAGTGGCTAATATAGAAACAGAATATGTGGGTTACTATATTTCAAATCCACAACCATTGGCACAAGTGTGCAACTTGCAAAACTGTAAACAAACTGCTCTCCTCTTTTCTATGTCACCATAGTGTATTTAATAGCACACTGCCTTCTGGAACCAAAGGTCATGAATTTAGATCGCATACCAGATCTTTGGCTCATATCCAGTGCCAACCCTGAAGTGAATAACAGATAGGCTAGTAAGTCTGATTCAAGAGATAAGTGCTTCATTCTCTTTACTTCTGATGGCAGATCCAGTTGCTATAAGAGTCTGTGTTATTTTTCCCAAAAGAACAGGGATAACCAAACAACACGGCCTCTCTCAGTATATCAGATTCTCAGGTCTATAGCTTTATGCAATCTACTCATGAGTGCATCGTTGCTGCTCTGTTGGGCACTAAGAATATCTTAAAACAGACATTTTCAGATTAAATTTGGCCTAACATTTAAACTTATTAAAAGGATGCTTTAATAAAAGCTCAGACAAACAAATGTTTCCATGTTTTCTCTCCATTCCAAAAGGAACAGTTTGAAACCACACATTCATTTAAAAGAAAAAGATCATTTCTCAGAACCTCCCATTCTGAAACTGAGCAGAATGGGGAAGAGAAACATGACAGAGTCCAACCAAATTCTAGTGTCTCACTCACCTATATATTTGTTTTCTTCAGGTAAGTGCAGGTCCTGATTTAACTGAAAGTCACTGGCCCATAAATCACTCCAATATTTGTCAATATCTGTGAAAAACATGAAATTAGTCTATTAACAGCAGATAGATTTAATAGGGCAGTAGCTACTGCATCAGTACCTAGTTGCTGACTCCTAGAACTAGATACCTTCCTTCTGATGTTTCTGTGTGTCTATCTGCATTCTCACTCCTATGTGGCTGCACATTGCACTGTCACCTTTTTAATGGTCTCAATGAGCACTTTAAAAGATCTCTAAACACTTTAGCGGGTCATTTTACCTTCCACACTGTACTGTGTCCCAAACCATCTCTCCTTTAGATGACATTTTCTTTCACTGGCAGCAGACAACAGAACAAGGTTTGCTCTCAGAGGGCAGAGCTGGTTAAGGACATCAGCAATGATCTACAAAGATAAAGGAATAATAACTCACTTAAAATGCAACTTTAGCTACTCCTGTCCAACTGTATTTTTAAATTACTCCGAAAGTTCAGAAGACAAAGGACTAAAAATAAACTCCTAAACCAAGCAATTTGTTTTCTGCACCCAAAAAGTATAAAAGTGATCCAATTAATCTAGAAAACCTGATTCAATAAGCCTAAATTCCCTGTACACCCTCAATAAATAACTTATCCAGCTCAAATATACACATTGAAAGCTATAGGGCTACTTACTTCAGGCTTGTATTCCAGCAGGAGCTGATCGCCCGTCAGAAAGTCCTCCTTACAAAAGATATGTATGTTCTCACAGAGACTTTCAACATAATCAATTGGATCAGCCTGTAAAATGAGTAAAATTGTGTTTCACACAACAGACAACTAAAACTTAACACTTTTTGCTGAGTAGAACTTGTGTGCTGCATTGCAGAGTTTTGGTTTTGGTTATTGAGTCTAAATGCAATTCATAAACAATTATGCAACATTAGAAGGGCCTTCCTTAAGAAGAAACAATGAAGAAATGGTCCCTTCTGCCTATCTAGTGATTAAGTACAGAGAAATAATAAGGTTTGATGCTACTTTTACAAAAACAAAGAGAATAACCATATTATCCTCGCTAGAATTATGGTCTCGTCTATACCATTGGTTGGAACACATATATGCCTCATATTCACAGGTGGCAGCTGTCTGTGTTGTTGGTGGGCTTTAGGGGTTTTTTGGTTGTTTTATAAAAGGTGCCAGTTGTACCAGTGAGTGGCTGCAGCTCACACGTGGCTAATGCAGTGAAGTCTACAATATTTCTTACCAGTGCAGAGGGGAATCCAGAAAATATCACTACTGCTGCACTAATTCAATGATTTAGCCTAACTCCATCCCACAGTTCAGACTGGCCTTAATTTCTGAAGTTACCTATAAGCATGGCTCTCAAAAACAGTATTGAGGAGACCCAGAATGCACTGGTGCAGCCATGGTAGTAAAAAGTGTGTGGGCATGTTGAAAGAATTCTGTCAAACACAGTGTTGCTGCATGAAGCCCCACACTATTTCAGAGACAAGCAAGACAATTAACCGTTTCATACAATCCGTGTCCCCACGACAGCTCCCTCACTTATGGCCTGATCCTGTGATGTGCTGAGGACATTCGCCTCCATTTAAATCAGAGGGAATTGAGTGCATTAGGTCCCCTTGCATGGAGACCCTCTCTGAGCTTCAGTTTCTCTCACCATTATCCTTGAGAAAAGAAATGAAGGTTACTTATCTGTAATCGGAGTTCTTCAAGATAGATTCTGAATAGTCACACTCATGGGATGGGCAGGGAGATGCAACTCAGGCTAGGTCTACACTACGGGGGTGGGGTGGGGTGTCGACCTAAGATACGCAACTTCAGCTACGCAAATAGCGTAGCTGAAGTTGCGTATTTTAGGTCGACTTACCTGGCTGTGAGGACGGCGGCGAGTCAACCGCTGCCGCTCCCCCGTCAACTCCGCTTCCGCCTCTCACTGCGGTGGAGTTCCGGAGTCAACGGCAGAGTGATCGGGGATCGATTTTATCGCGTCTACACTAGACGCGCTAAATTGATCCCCGATAGATCGATCGCTACCCGCTGATCCGGTGGATAGTGAAGACGTGCCCTCAGATGGTGGAACCTTCTCATAGCAGTGCCCATTAGAAAATTCATGCACCCCTCCTACTCTTCCCCTCTGTGTTCCTGAACATTTTGAGGACAAGGCTATAAAAGGGGCACCCTTTGCCATCTCAGTTCATTCTTCTAACCTCCCCAGAGTCAGAATTCTATTAGAACTCCAACAAAGGTGGGGAAGGAGTGTGAATATACAGAATTCATCTCAAAGAACTCCAGTTACAAGTAACCAACCTTCATTTCTTTGGGTACGTCTACACTACGAGATTAATTCGAATTTAGATCATTCGAATTTGGGAAACAGATTGTATAAATTCGATTGTGCGCGGCCACACTAAGCACATTAATTCGGTTTTTAACCACATTAATTCGGTGGTGTGCGGCCACACTACCCCATTAATTTTAACCACATTAATTCGGTGGTGTGCGGCCACACTACCCCTAATTCGAATTAACAAAATCGATTTTGGTGCTACTCCGCTCGTCGGTGTGGAGTACAGAAATCGATTTTAAGTGCCCTTTAATTTGAAGTAACTGGCTCCGTTGTGTGGACGGGTTAAGGATTAATTCGGATTAACGCAGCTAAATCCGAATTAAAGTCGTAGTGTAGACCAGGCCTTTGACCATCTTCTACATATTCCCACTCACAGGACAGTTTGGCAAGCTGTACCTCACAAACAAGGTGGGACTCAGAGTCCTGATTGAACAGGGACTGTAGAACTGCTCTATGAAATTAAGTGTCTGATCAACTGTGACATTATCCAGGGTAGAATCTGGACCGATAAACAGCTGTGTCCCGTTCTCCAATCTGGGGTGCCTTTTACACTGCTTTACTGTGAAAGTTACCACTCCTGGTCTGCTCACACAGCCTCCAGCATGTAAATTACTCCCAGTTAAATTGTATGAATGTGATAGCCAGCCACTCTTGAATTACACTGCAGAGTAACAGCAGCAAATTCCCAGCCCCAAACTTTCTCCAGAAATGTAAGTCTTGTACTACCCAGCTCTCTCCTGGACAATACAAGCTCATATAAAGTCTGTCATTTTATTAATAGAAAATTATATGCACAAATCCTGTCATCCCAAATGGAGTTTCCCAAATGCCTCAATCCAAACACACTGGTTTAGATAAAACAAGTTTATTAACTACAAAAGGATAGATTTTGAGTGAATACAAGTAACAAGGGTATAAGAGTCAGAACAGATTACAAGAAAAATAAAAATAAAAAGCATCTAATGCCTAACTTAACAACTGAAGTGAATTCAAAGCGAAGTCTCTCTCACCACATTTCAGCAGTCTTACTGGATGAATCTCCTTCAGTCAGGATCCCTCCCCCCAATGCTGCTTCAGGTCTTGTGAATGCCATAGGTAGAGAGGAAGAGATCATTTGGGGTGTCTACTCTCCCTTCTTATAGTTCTTTCTCTTCTTGGAGAAGCATTTCCAACTGAGGTTCATGAATTGCATTAGCACTAAATTGAAGTCCCAAGATGGTATTTGGGTCTTTTATAGGCAGTTGCATATTGGCATGTCCCTTCATAAATTTCTTAACTTTGTTTTGTGCCATGATAGATTTATTATCTGTTAATGCACAGTGGACTATAGTTGCTACATATCTTTTAAAGGAGGAAATGGAAAGACCTGGAAGATCTGAATGAATCAAGTGTTCAATAATATAATGTACTGGTGTGACAATGTTGATCAATAGTTTCTCTCTTATTCACTTCACAAATCTAGTCCACCTGTGCTTGCTGCTTGTTTTCTAATGTTAATCAATATTTCCTGCACTTCTAAAGGGCAAGATTTTCCAAGGACCATTCAAGTCCTATAGCCCATGCAGTCAGGTGCAGTGATTAAGGGTCCAGATGATAAATTCTGTTCTCCTGTTGAATTAATAAGTTCAGTAACACCAGGAGAGGTCTGTATACTCCCTGGGAGAGCTGAAGAAGTCCGAGTGCCACTGTTGCCGTGGCAGTGGTGGGCAACCAGAATTATCCTTGTTCCATCCTGTCTTATCTACTTAATCACACAATGGATGAGAGGGAAGGGTGAAAAGCATAGAACAGACACTTCCCCGAGTTCAGGAGAAAAGAGTCCAATATGGGTAGATTGACTTTCCCTGCTCTCAAGCAAAACTTGGGACACCTTGAATTCTGTCTGATCATGATCAGATTTACGTCCAGGAATCCCCACAGGGTGAAGATCTTGTCTATCACCAATTTCTTTAACGATCACTCATGAAGTTCCATTATATCTTTGCTCTGTTGACCCACCACCAGACTGTTGTCACTGCCTATTAGGTATAGAGCTACCTAATGTTGTGCTAGATATTCCAGTCCCATAATGTCACTGCTTCCTTTCATAACAAAGAAGAGTGAGCCCCTCGCTGTTAGCTAATATAATACATTGCTGTCATATTGTCTGTGATGGCCTGCATGCAGTACCTCACTCGGCATGCAATATAGAAAAGATTTGAGAACCCAATGAATTTTTCTCAGTTCCAGGATATTTGTACGCAGTCTCCTTTCCTGAGTACTCCAATTACCTCAAACCGTTAACTAGTTGAAATGTGCTCCCCATGCCTGGTTGGAGGTAACGAAGGTGATTGTTTTCAACAGTCTTGGAAGGATAAACACTACTCCCAGGTCACTGGCACACTGAGTCCATGTCAAAGATAGCAGTATCTCTTTTAGGGTGAGCAATCTTGTGAATGTGCTTCTATAGTTGGTCTGTAATTTAATGCCAGTCAATGCTGCTGACTTCTCACTCTGAGCCAAGCACAAAGTACAACACAAGTGGCTGAAGACACAAGGCCCATGAAACCTAGAAAGAACATATAGCAGTACCCTTTTCATTCGATCTAATTGGGACCAGGGCCAGATTGGTTAATCAGAAATCCAGATAAACCGAAGAATGGGAAAGTGCAATGCTGCTCTACCATCTAGTGGCCACAGGAGTGATCACCCCCTTCTGGACCTGTGTTCGCTGCTTGTCTGGTTAATGCGGAAAGCCAGAGATAATGGATGGTCAGATAAATAAAGTTCTACTGTACTTTCCAAGTAGGATTTTGATGGGCCACCATTTTGGCAGATTGAAGCTTCAGAAATATCTTCTGGAAGAAATGCTCTGACCTCCTGAGAGTTGAGAACTGCTCCTATAAACCAAATCCACTGTGAAAGTAGCTGAAGAGACTTTTTCATGTTTATCATGGAGTCCTAACTTCTTGAAGAGGAAACATGTGTAATATAGGTTTCTGGAAAAGCCATCTTCTAATGAGGCTTTATTGAGCCAATCTTTTAAATAAGAGTAAACAAAAATACCCTATTGTGTCAAACAAGCCATTACTGCAGATAGGTATTTTGTCATTTCCAAGGGAGGAGGGGGCAGACCTGTAGAGAGGTTAAAGATTGTATTGGAAGTTATTTTGTCCAACAATGAAACAAAGGTATTTGCAATGCCTTGGTCTGATAGAGATAAGCACTTTTTAGATCGAGAGCTGCAAGCCAATCTAGGGTTGAAAGGGATGGCATGAGGGATACTTAAATCAACAAGTGGAAACTATTTTCTGATAAAAGCATTGAGTTTCTGTAGATTTAATATTGGACAAAGCCCTCCATCTTTCTTTGATATCAGAAAATATCTGGAATAGAAACGTTGACCCTTGAACTTCCTTGGCACTTTCTCTAATGTTCCCACTTCTAACGAGGACTGAATCTCCATCTTAACGCAGTCTTATGAAATGGGTCCCTAAACAGAGATAGAAGGGGGAGGATGCATTGAGTGGAAGAAGGGCTTCAAATTGAATGGCATAACCTTCTTCAGTTTTCTCCAGATTCCATTTTTCAGACGTGACAGAATTCAGTTGCAGATGTAACAGGAAAGTTTATCTTCAAGGGTGGGGAGAGAGGATCAGCACAGACTGGTCTGAAGCTCCCAATCCTCATATCAAACTTGAAGCCTGACATTCAAACCTGAAGTCAAAGATGAAGGATGTTTCCCCTTAATTCATCTCTTAAAAGGCTCCCTTCTCTGCTATGGTTACAAAGGAAAGATATTGGTGTTGAAATTGACATCTCTGAGAATAATAAAATGGCAAAGATGATGTGGGAGTAGAACTGCCGCTAGGACTTAAAGACAGGTACAGAGGTCCTTATTTTTGTAAACAGGTAGATTTTGCAGTAGACCTTTTGTCCTTCATCTTCTCCAGTATCTCAGCAGTCTTATTGCTAAATAATCCATCATCTATCAAGGGACGGTCATCTACCTTCAATTTTGTTTCTATAGCACATCTATAAAGCAGACACAACTGCTCTCATTGCTGAATCTGATCCCTCAAAAGATGTTCTTTTAACTGCATGTTTTGACACTGTCTGACCTTCAGCTACTAAGGTATTAGCCAACTCCTGTTGTTCTTCTGGGAGTGCTTTTGGAAACCTGGGTATCATTTCCCATGAATAATATTGATTCTGCGACATCATTGCCTGGTAATATTGCCACTCTAATTCTGAGCAAAGCAGAAGAAAATCTCTTTCTACAAATTGTGTCCTTTTCCTTCCCTCCCTTTTTCAGAAGGAGTAAACTGCGACTGTCTTCCTCTAGATCTATGGTCTGCTATTGCCTCTACTGAAGAGTTAATGGTAGGATGCATGTGAAAGAAAAAAAAACCCTCACTTTTTAAATGATATAACTTGTCAGCTTTTTTCAAGATGAAGGGGTAGACAAAACTGCTTTTGCAGGTTGCAACAGTCTGTCTAATATTGGTAGGGTGATTTTATTTTTGGGGGGAGAACGCAGGATAGGAAGGGTCTTCCAGCGTGACTGTCATAGGTTTCACCCCCCACTCTGAACTTTAGGGTACCAATGTGGGGACCTGCATTTGAACCCCTAAGCTCAATTAACAGCTTAGATCTGGTCTGGCTGCCACCACCCAAATGATTTATGAGTTATTTGGGAAACTCTGTCTTCCCCCCCAAAACCTTCCCCTCCCTGGGTAGCCTTGAGAGACTCCTCCACCAATTCCCTGGTGAACACCGATCCAAACCCCTTGGATCTTAACACAAGGAGAATTTAACCATCTCCCCTCTTTCTCCCCACCAATTCCTGGTGAGTCCAGAGCCAATCCCCTTGGATCTTAAAAACAGGGAAAAATCAATCAGGTTCTTAAAAAGAAGGCTTTTAATTAAAGAAAAGAAAGGTGAAAGACAAACCTCTGGGAGAGATTAGCATACCAGCTACTCTCACAGACAACAGATTCAAAACACAGAGGATGTTCCCCTGGGCAAAACTTAAGTTACACAAAAGAATACCCAATTTGATTATTCCCCTAATTGCACAAGACAAGTTACAAAAAGAAAATAAACAAAACCTATTTATTCCTTTTCTAATACTCACTACTCTGATAAGAAGCTGATTCCTTGATCTTTTCCACTCTGGCCAAAACTGAAACTGACCCAGACAAAGGGAATTTCCCTCGTTCCTTTTGAAACATTTTGTCCCCCCATTGGTTCCTCTGGTCAGGTGTCAGCTAGGCTAGGTGAACTTCTTAACCCTTTACAGGTAAAAGAGGCTTTTAACCCTTAACTATCTGTTTATGACAGTGACCAATGAAAGTTTCAGTCATCACCATTCTATCCACAAGTCTGTGAAATGGTAAAGCATTCTCATAAGGAGAAGAAGCTGAAGAAACCCTAACATTTTCATCCGGAGAAGATTCAGTGTCAGGAATTATCTGAAAATGTCAAAAATAAAACAAAAAAGTTCAGACTCTTGGTAAAGAACAAGAAAAAACTCTCTGGTCACACAGCAATGATGCCTATACCTGAAATTATCCATGGAAAAGAAGTGGAGGTGGTTAGGGTTAGGGTGGTTAGTGGAGGTGGCTATAACAGCAGCACTGAACATGTGGTGCCATGAAGAGACATTTATGTGATACCAGTGGCCATTGTTCTTCTGTAAATTCCCCAAAGTTCAGCAGTGCGGGAACTACTTCCCGCAAGTGAGAATATGCAGAAACACTAAAAGAAAATAACCATAATTGTTTATAGCACACCATTAAGGTTCATATTACTTCACGGTACAGTGGATTGATTTAAACCAAAGTAATTTAAATCCCTATTTTAATCATGATTTAAATCAGCAAACAGGAAACTTTATTTTCATTCATCAATTTTAATATTATTTTGCATTTGTATTTTTTTTTTGTTATTTTCCTAAAGACAGGTACATTCTCATTGGTTGAGAACTATTAAAACATGTTGATTTGCAACTAAATATAGCTTTACACAACATCTGGTGCTTCTTTTTGCTAACCAGGAGGATACAGTATATCTGTACATTTATTTAAGCTGTTATGTACCTTAACTTTTATTCACATTCCTAATTTTTACTTATGTTAGAAAATGGTGAATGGATGCATTTTTTATTTACTGGATGATTACTTTTTTACTTTTGATTTGTATCCAGTTCTATTTGGGTGGAAATTAAAATTCAATTAAATGCACAAAAACAGCATTTAATTTTTTATTAGGTAAATAAAACTACTTTAAATGTGTTGAATGCCTAACAAAGTAAGTTTCTAAAACGTGTTTTGCATTTGAAACTAACTGATTTATTTAAAAAAGGAAGTATTATCCATAGTTAGTGAATTGAACTGATTGTTTCTGGTCACCACATCCTTCAAGATTTTAAAACTAGTAGAGTTCATCCTCTCAGATCTAGTTTTTATTCAGAGATTGGATGACAAAAACAAGATTTCTTGCTTTTCAATTCTCAATTAGTTTCTTAACTTTGAATGATCTAGTCATTGAACTGAATTACTTGAACAGACTAAAATGAAGAAAATATTCTCTCTAAAGCTGCAGAAGAAATTATTGCTGTCAAAAGCTGGTTTGGCACTTCAATAAACTGTGATTTTAGGTATTTAGCCAGCTCAATGGTTTGACTTTCTTTAATACTTGCAAGCAAAAACGTACCATTTAAAATTTGTTTAATTAATTTAAATAATTTTACTATATTATAGTAAGTTTAGGACTTAAGATAGGTTGCCATATTTTCAAAAAGGTTTATTTAAAAAACTATATTTAATTTTAAAAATCTATTTTTATACACCCTGATTCACAGGTGAATAAGATAAGGGTCCTGTAACAAGTATCTTACAATCTAAACTAAATGATAAAGAGAAACTGACCTTAAGGAGTGGGAGAAAACAAAACATGAGGAAAAGAAAACAGCTCTTGGAAGAGCACCATTTACCAAAGAAATCAAATCATATTTTGTTTTATTAAAGAACAACTTCACAAGTCATAAAGTTTAACATTTCTCTATCTAGAATATAAGTTCTTTCTACTTAACAAATGCTTCTTCTTCCTCATCTATGTAAGACTATATTTTCAAAGACTCATGATGTTAGAACCATCTAACTCTCACTGACTATGGAATGTTACATAGAAAAACCCCCAATTACAATTCAAAAATCTAGGGCTTAAGATCTATACCCCCAAAGAAAACATTTGAAGATTAATTTAGTACCTGATCCTGGAAATAAAATTCATTAGCTTCAATCTTCTGAATCTCTTCCCAAATTCTGTGGGTGGGAAAAAAATATATATACCCATTACCCTGTCAAGTGATTAATCACACACTATTTCTAACAAGATATGAGTCTGAAAATTTAAGCTAGTTTGTCTGCAGTAATAATAATTTGTACATCTATATGACCTGGATACCATGGTGACTGCACGAGAAATACATGTTCAACTCATCAACGACTTAGATATTGGCATAGAAAGTACGCTTATTAAGTTTGCAGATGATATCAAACTGGGAGCGATTGCAACTGCTTTGGAGGATAGGGTCATAATTCAAAATTATCTGGACAAATTGGAGAAATGGTCTGAGGTAAACAGGATGAAGTTTAACAAAGGCAAATGCAAAGTGCTCCACTTAGGAAGGAACAATCAGTTTCACACATACAGAATGGGAAGAGACTGTCTAGGAAGGAGTACGGCAGAAAGGGATGTAGGGGTTATAGTGGACCACAAGCTAAATATGAGTCAACAGAGTGATGCTGTTGCAAAAAAAGCAAACATGATTCTGGGATGCATTAACAGGTGTGTTGTGAGCAAGACACGAGAAGTCATTCTTCCGCTCTACTCTGCGCTGGTTAGGCCTCAACTGGAGTGTTGTGTCCAGTTCTGGGCACCGCATTTCAAGAAAGATGTGGAGAAATTGGAGAGGGTCCAGAAAAGAGCAACAAGAATGATTAAAGGTCTTGGGAACATGACCCTATGAAGGAAGGCTGAAAGAATTGGGTTTGTTTAGTTTGAAAAAGAGAAGATTGAGAGGGGACATGATAGCAGTTTACAGGTATCTAAAAGGGTGTCATAAGGAGGAGGGAGAAAACTTGTTCACCTTAGCCTCTAAGGATAGAACAAGAAGCAATGGGCTTAAACTGCAGCAAGGGAGGTTTAGGTTGGACATTAGGAAAAAGTTCCTAACTGTCAGATTGGTTAAACGCTGGAATAAACTGCCTAGGGAGGTTGTGGAATCTCCATCTCTGGAGATATTTAAGAGTAGGTTAGATAAATGTCTATCCGGGATGGTCTAGACAGTATTTGGTCCTGCCATGAGGGCAGGGGACTGGACTCGATGACCTCTCGAGGTCCCTTCCAGTCCTAGAATCTATGAATCTTTTTGTCTGGGAATCACAAGCATTTAACAATTGTCAATCAATCCTCATTACTCCTGCAAGTTTTTATCCCCTATTTTCAGATGGAGAAACTGAAGCACAAATAGTCAGTGGCAGACACAAAGTAAATGGAAGAGCCAGCAACAGAACTGAGAATTCCTGACTCTCAGTTCCATAATCTAACCATACACTACCCTTAATTGCTTGACCTCACTATTTGGGAAAGGTGTGGCATGCAAGCAAGTCTTTGAGTTTTCCCTTTTTTTTTTCTTCCACTAAGGGCTTGTCGATACAGGAAAATTTTATCAGTTGTACTTGCATAAACTGGTATAATCTCACATGTGACCACTCTTATTCTGGAATAATATTGGCTTTTTTTTGTTTAGTTGAAACTCCTTCCAAAGAACATAATGTAAACAGCAAAAAGTCAGTCTTATTCCAAAATAAGAGTGTCCGCACAAGAGGTTACACCAGTATGGCCTTGTCTACACTACAAAGTTAGGTTCATGTAAGTCACTTTGCATTGTCTTATTTGTGCATGTGTCTACACTCAAATTTTTCTCCAGCCAATGTAAGTGCCCCATTACAGTGAAGAAGTAAAACCACCTCCCTGAACAGCACTGAGCCGTGGTCAACATACTATAGTTGACACAGTGCAAGTGTAGAGACTGCATGACCTAGGTTGTCTCTAATAGTCCTCCAGCAGCTGTTCCACAATGTCCACTAGTAACCACTCTGGTCACAGTTGTGAACTCCACTGCCCAGGCGTCCTGGAGACCGGAAGCCACACTGCTCCCTTTAAAACGCCCATATTTTTAAAATGCCTTTTCCTGATTGCTCAGCTTGGCAAGCACACCTAGCAGTAGCAGTTCTCATTTGTTGTGTGAAATTAACCAACCGACCACGCCAACTACACAACACTCTAGACCAGTGATACTCAGACCTCAATGGTTCAGGATCCATATTAGCAATCAGCATTACCCAAAAGATCCACAGCAGTGTAAATTCATTATTTCATTTACTATAGTACAATTAATACTTAAACTGTATGACTGGGGAAATATTTACTCTCTCTCTCTCTCTATATATATATATATATACACACACACACATACTCACAGCAAATAAGTTAATTTTAGTGCAACTTAATTGGTTAATAACATAGTAAAAGTATCCTTATTGGTTAATAATTAAATCACAGAGTGTTTTAATATCATGTGCTGCAAAGAGCCATGCAGGAGACACATTCAAGAGTCACTTGTGGCTCAAGAGCCACAGTCTGAGTATCACTGCTTTAGAAACACTCCTGCCTGAAGTAGACAGCAAGTATTGGATCTTCAGGGCCTGTGGAGAGAAGAGGCTCAGCAGACACAGCTACATATCAGTCATCAAAACATGGACGTCTATGAAAAGATAGCACAGGAGGTGTATGTGAAGGGGTATGATAGGGATCAGCAGCAGTGCTGCGTGAAAATGAAGGAACTGCAGCAGGCATTCCAAAAGACCAGAGAGGGCAAGAGTTGATCTAGTGCCATGCCGCAATCCTGCTGCTTTAACAAAGAAGTGCATGACAGACTTTGTGGCGCGCCAGTGGGATCTCCACTGACCACGACGAATACCTCAATGGAGCTCAAGAACAGTGAGGAGGAGAAGAGAAATGCAATGAGGCGTCCAGCTATGCCATGAGCTAGAATCTTTTTAAGACTCCTCCGCAGTCTAGCCAGTCCCATCAGTGAGCACCACCGAGCCCAATCCAGGAGAAGGAATCTCGGGTAAGTGTGTGCATGCATTTGCCCTTAAAATGTTTAAATGTGAAGATGGCACCCAGCCCTACCCCAAGTTAGCAGAACACAGGTGTCTACTTTTCAATGTTTTACTCATATGAGACGAAGTAAGGGTACAACAAAAAGAGACAAAGCTGGAATCTGCTTTTTGTTCTCCTGTAGGATTAGGCGATGGCAGGGAGGCACGCAGAGCAGTTTGTTTATATACATAAGGCTGTTCCTTGTATCCTCCTGAGAGATCTTGATGGAATTTTCATGGAGGTACTCTGCAATCCTCTCCCAAAGGTTTCTAGGGATGGCTGCCTTACTTCTTCCTCTATGGTAGGGTAACTTCTTTCCCACTACACTCTGTGATGACTTCGGCAGGCACCATTGCCATAAACAGGCTAGCGTCACACAAGCCCAGGTGGCTTAATGAATTTAGCAGTAGCTGTGTTCTCTGTGCCTCTGTGACCCTCAGGAGTGAGATACCAGTTAAAATCACTGCCGCACAACATTTTTTTCCTTAACACTACAAAACAATTCCCTCCTCACTTCCGCCCCATCCTGGCGGGTCATACTAAGAATGGCTGCAGCTGGAGAGCAGTGCTATGCACAGGCACTCCAAAGCTGAAGTGTCAATAAGCAGGTCATATTTAAAACTCTTATAGGTATAAGGGAAAGGCGTTCTCAAACTCATCTTTCATTTTCCATTGTGGCTGTAAATACATGTCTGTTTTGTATGTAGCTGCCATCGTTGCAGCCTGAAGGCGTGCCCCAGCCACACCTGCAGAACACCTGACACTGATGAGGAGGAGAAAGAAGAGGAATAGGGAGGACATCAGATCATGAAGAGAGCCTAGAGAGTGAATATAGCAGATAGCCTGGAGAACAAAAGAACAGACAGGAGAAAGACTCAGGAGTCCCAGCAGGAAAAAGAGAGAGAGATTCGCCAGGACAAAACAGGGCTTCTCAGGCAGCAAACAGACTCTTATTGACCTAAAGGTAAAACAGTCATGGACTCGCCTACCTTTGTAGTCAATGGAGAACTCCATTTCAGGAGCTTCAATACCTCCCAATATTCCACATGGCACGATGAGCCATATCTGTACCCCTACTACTCCATGCTGGGGGATAGTAGGAAAATCACACCTTCACCTACACTGACCTGGGAGAGCCACAGTTGGAGTATGTTTGGCAGAAAAGGATTGAAATGGAGACAAATGTTTTCTACCATTCTGATTTTAAAGTTCTGTTCCATTAATTTATTTTATGTTTGCGCACTGTATTGATTTTAATTGCACATTAATGTTTTCCCCTGTTTTGGGTACGTAATAAATTTTTATATTTTGGAAATAAATTAATCTTTACTACTTCATAACATATACTACAGAACAAATAGCACTACTCAAAGAACAGGACAATTCTAATTGTAATAGAACAGGACCACAGAACTCATAGGTTCAGTTAAAAACAATGTACATACTATTATACATGTACATTAATATTATAAATGTACAGTAAACACAGAATAATTAATAGGTTCATTAAAAGTGTGATATTCATAAATGCACACCAAGCATTACATGATTCCTAACACCCCCAAAATGTCAAGGCTTTAGGTAGAGCACATTAAGTGGCTGACCATTAAGGCTCTTTCAAGGCCTCTCTCAGCCACATATCTCCACCTTGAGCTTTTCTAATGGCCTTGTGTCTGGCTGTTCAAAGTCAGCAGACAGCCATTCTATCTCTGCCCTCTACCTCAAAAGTGGCAACTTTTCACCTACTACCTCACAATTATTATGCAGGACACAACAGGAAGCTATAACCATTGGGATATTTTTCTCAATGAGATCTAATCTAGTGAGTAAGCACCACCAGCGCCCCTTCAATCTGCCAAAAGCACACTCAACTGTCATTATATACCTGCTGAGCCAGTAGCTGAATCTTTCCTTAAAGTTATCGAGGAGGCCACTGTACAGCTTCATGAGCCAAGATCATTATTGGCATGTCAACATTGCCAATTGTTAATCCACTGTCTGGGGAAAAAACGGCCCTGCTTGCACCTTCTTGAATAGTCGTGTGTTCTTAAATGTGCAAGCGTCATGCACCTTTCCTGACCAGCCCACATTGCTCTCAGTGAAACATCCCTGGTGATCCGCCAGTGCTTGCATAACCATAGAAAAGTAGCCTTTTCATCACAGCCTGGGAGTACCTTTCCCAGATCTGAAGAAAAGCTCTGTCTGGCTCAAAAGGTTGTCTCTCTCACCAACAGAAGTTGGTCCAGTAACAGTTGTTAACAGTAACAATTGTAGTAACCCTACAATTAATTCTTCCATTTTTTTTAACAATCTCATTTTCCACCATTTTCTCATTGCATCTGTTCTAATATCGGCTTATCCAAAAAGAAAAAGCACACTATAACGCAGAAAAGGATAGAAAAGAGGGAAAACCCCAGTGATATCCGGGGTCATGATCACTTGATTCAAACCAAGTTACCTTTTATCTGGCCCTCTTTTCTGCAACATTTTCAGATACTGGAATACAACATGCGCAACCTGAAGACAGAAGGACAAACTGATGAACTTTCTTTAACTTTTGGACATAGCACAGTGGTAAGAAATCCAAGCTATAATGGAATTTTACCTCATAGAAGTGCTCGTAACCTTCATCAGTCAAAGTCACAGAAATGCTGAATATAGAGTAGGTGGAGTTCTGTTCAAATCCTGTCTCACCATTTCCCCCATATAACGCAAGAGCCCAAAATCTATTGAAGAGTTATACCACTATTAATTACTCCAGTTAAAAACCTTCTTGATGTCTAATTATAATCACAGCATCATTGTTCAAGCTTATTTCGGACCTGCCTAATGGAGGCCACTTTAAGGAATTTAAAAGTCAATCCAAAGCAAATGGAAAGAATATAGCTTTCTACAAGAACACAAAGCACTGAAATTCAAAAATGCAGGGCATATACCTTTTTTGGATTTATTCAGTGTGAACCAAAATATTTTTGAAAACGTAAGTTTTCAGCAAAAGTGCTTTCAGTGTTGCTCTGGAGATTCTCTCGTAGTTGAATTTCTTGTATTTAGTACTAAAGACACCACCGGGTACATTTTCAGAGTATTTTGCGTTGCTTAAGTCACATGACTACTACAGGTTTTAAAGAGAATCACTGAGTTTGTCTCAAGCTTTGTAGATCACATTTTTTAATTTTTATTTGAGGAAATATTTCCGCCTTCACTCTTTATTTCAATGCACACAATATTAAAGTCTCACATTTAAAGAAATACATACTTTTTCCGAAGAAAGGAAAGAACACTGCCTTTGCCTTCATGTCCTACCAGCCAGGAGATATAGTGAAGTGGCTTCACCCTAAAAAGAGTTAAAGAAATGTAAAACTCCAACATGTAAAACTCTAATGTAGATTAATAATTAGCAAATCAAAATACAGATATTTAGATAATATCTTTCATCCAAAGATTCCAAATCACTAGACAAACAATTATAAATTCACTGCCCACTTCACCCACTATTGAAGTGACACCTTTAAACAGCAATGCTATGAAAAAGAGATTGTGTCCATTTGAAAATACAAAGGAATTTAGACAGGTAGAATACTGTTACTGATCTGAAAGTTAGCCAGGCTGCTGAAGTTAACAACTATACTTTGGCTGAAAATGCCACAACATTTTAACGAACACAAATAGTCATGACCTTTGTTTTACAGTAGAACCTCAGAGTTACGAACACCATAGTTACGAACTGACCAGTCAACCTCATTTGGAACCGGAAGTATACAATCAGGCAGCAGCAGAAACACACATACATACACATACACACACACACACACACACACACACAAAAAGCAAATACAGTACAGTACTGTGTAAATGTAAACTACTAAAAAAATAAAGGGAAAGCATTTTTCTTCTGCATAGTAAAGTTTCAAAGCTGCATCAAGCCAACGTTCAGTTGTAAACTTTTGAAAGAACAACCATAACGTTTTGTTCAGAGTTACGAACATTTCAGAGTTACAACTTCCATTCCCGAGGTGTCTGTAACTCTGAGGTTTTATTGTGTGTCTCACTACAAAGACATCACCTCCAGCAGCTTTGTGCCTCCTACCACTGATTCAAAAGGAAATGTCCAGTAATAATGGTTCAGAACAGAATCTGAGAGAAGTGTGTTACTCAGTGTATCACCAACACAACTTCATGGGCTACTAGGCTTTCTTTGGACGTCTTCTGTCCAGGGACAGACCAGGCCCAATTTGTTTATAAGAGTTGATCGGATCACCAACTAAAGTAATATGGCTGCAAACATATTATAAACAGATACTACATTCAACACATCTGCAGTTTGACTCTGAAGAAGCCAGACTATTGCATACCTTTCCACTCGTTACCAAAGCAATATCAAAAGTACAACACGGATTTATAAGTGCTGTATATCAGAAAATAAACAATTTAACAGTTAATTGCAAAGAGTAGGAGTATGGACAGCAAGCCTTAAAAAGCATGCAGCATCAAAGAGAACCTATTCAAAGAAGCCTCGTCGCTCCATAGCACAAGATCCTGCAAACCACAAGTTCTAGCTGACAGCCTGTAAAATGAAGAGCACCAATAGAAAGAAGATAGTATGTCTGTTACTCCTAAAACTGTCAACAATTTATCATGTGTGACCCAAGGCGCCTTAGGTAGCCCACACTGAAAATGCCAAGGTCAGGGCAGCCTGCAAAAAGGAGAACAGAGTCTCCAAAAATGGTGGTTATCATTGTAGTTAGATTCCCCAACCAGCCACAGACCATGCTCCTGATCCCGCCCCCACTGGATATCAAGAAGCTGGGGGGCGGGGGGGAAGAAATCACACAGCCCCCTTTATTGCATTCCAGTCTCCGGCTCCCAATCAGCAAATAGGTCCAGTAAAGTGAGAAGTTCTTTAAAACTCTATTCACCATACAAAATGTTCTTCTGATCCCCAAAAAGCTAGCCACATCACCAGATCAATATTAGTTTGAATCTTACCCAAAATACCATGCTGGAAGGCAATCCTTTAATATCTAAAAACCTAAAGATTTACTGTAAAAGCAAAGCAAAGCAAAGTAAAGCAAAGAAAATAAGTTGTTAAATGGTCAAAACTATCAGATATGGACTCTGAAGTCATATGTATGTATCAGGTTCTTAGCAGCATTGGTGAGTTTGCTGGCATGTAAAATCCCTCTGGAACACACTCAAAGCTTGGGTCTATCAGTCCTTCGTTCAAAGCTTCAGTTTGTAAAGAAGTTACTCCAGAGGTGAGAAGTAGAATTGAAGACAAAATGGAGAAGATGCAGCTGCCTTTTTATATTCTTTGCCATGTAGCTTGTACATCCTTTGTCCCAAACACAAGATCACAGCACACAGGCATGGAAAAGCTCTTGGAGTCCTCTGTCCACAAGCATGTCCCTATATGTCCTGCTAACTCATAAGTAAGGCTAAGTTTTAGTCATCGGTATTTTTAGTAAAAGTCATGGACAGGTCATGGGCAGTAAACAAAAATGCATGGGCCCATGACTTGTCCATGACTTTTACTAAAAATACCCCTGACTAAAACTGGGGGGAGGGACTTTGGGGGCGCCGCGGGTGCTGGGGAGGGGGGTGCGGCCCAGGGGGGGGCACTGCAGGTGCTGTGGAGGGGGGCGTGGGTGCTCGGGGGCAAGTCACAGCCTGGGGGGCAGCGTGGGTGCTGGGGCTGAGGCAGGCTCCCTAACCAGCTCCTGGGAAGCAGCAGCCTCAGCTCCTAGTTCCACGTGCTGCCTCCGCTCCACCCCAAGCCCCGGTTCTGCAGCTCCCATTGGCTGGGAACCGTGGTCAATGGGATCTGTCAGGGCAGCGTCTGCGGGTGGAGGCAGCAAGTGGAGCTAGGAGCTGAGGGAGAGAAGCCCCCCCACCCCCCAGGTAAGCACCAGCCCCAACCCCAAGCCCTGAGCCCCCCACACCTAAACTCCTGCTGTTGTGGGGCGGAGGGCCCTGAGACTGCCCCAGCTCCTCAGGCAGCTCCTGGGCTAGCCGCAGGGGGCTGCTGCAGAAGTCACGGAATCTGTGACTTCCGTGACCTCTATGACAAAAACGGAGTCTTACTCATGAGTGTAGCCCCTGGCTTCTCTCAATGTGTTCATTCTACAGCGGATTGCTCTTGATGGGCCATCAAACAGGCTACATAGTGCTAATCCCAATCTGTCTAGGGGTGTCACCCAGAAACACAGCGCAGGTTTGAGATGCAGATGTATTACACATATATATAAAACTCAGGATACAAAGATGATACATACATATAAACAAGGTCATCATACTTAGCAAATCATAACTTTTCTACTGATACTTTACATGTCAAATCTTGTATGATTCATTGCAATTTTGTAATATTCGTATCCATATTATAATAAATGGTCACTCATATTCCATGCAGCGTCACACTATGCTATTCCAAAAATCAAAGATCACAAAATGTTTTCATTTCATGGAATGATTCTTTCTTGCTGAATTTAACAGGAGAGAAAGTCTTGGTTATTTGATTCTTTATAAATAGTCATCTATACTCAGAGTGTGACATCAAAAAGATGTAGTGCCATCTTACCTGTAATGTCTCTCCTGTGGTGGTAGTCCCCAGGCAATGCTCAGTGAATGAACATTTCTGATTGGAACAACTGAACAGGAAGAAATGTATAAATTGTAATGCAAATGCATGATTATTCCTGTCTCTTTAATCCTAAGAAACAGCAATGGGCAAGAGATTTTACTTGCTGTAGAAAGGGTGGGAAAGATTCACAAAACTACATATTCTAATTCAATGATGGTAAATCAACCATTCTAAAACTCAAAGAAATAAGAATCTACACAGTGGTATATTCAATACCCATTCAGAACACTTATCAACACAGAAGACACCAAGGTCACTTACCCCTGTAAAGCTTGTAAAATTCGGGTGTGTCAAAAGGCTGTGTCAGATGGCCAAAGTTCGGTTTGGGTAAACCACTTCAAAAACAAAAGAAAATTATAGCATGATGTTTACTGTTCATGATACAGGACAACAAAGGGGAGAGTATAAGCTGCTCTGTGCCCATAGTTCTGAAGTGATACAAACCTGAGATTTCTATGGAACCAGAATATTTCCTCCTTTGATGTGACACTGAATTAGGGCACATCACAAGATCCACTCCATCCTGATTAATAGAAAACTTAACAGCCACTATTTCCCTGACCACCTCCACAAACACACACTCTAGTTATGGGCATATCATCTATTCCTCCAGTTCCCTCCATTTGTGGCACTGCACCTCCTGAAAATGACATGGCACAGATTTTTGGAGTGTGGGTAAGGTCACACAAAGATTTGCACCTTGCCTTTGGGAGAGGCCCCAATCAAACGCCTTTGCAGATTTGCTTGCACAGAAATGCATTAGCAGAATAAATGCCTTCCAGATTTCTGCCTGTGAAGAGAACAAAATAGCTGTGCATCTGTAGCACATTAGCATGTCTCCTGCACAACACCAATAAACTCTAGAAGACAATGAAGTGTAATACTTTATAATAGGAGGAAAAGTAAGCCCAAGGTGATTTATTTTAAAATAGAGGGAAGTGGAATTATGGACAATCTGATACCATTGAGCTGCCACAAGAAGACCCAATACACGAGTGATGTATGGTTTCTTAATACTTGTGCTGAAATAAACTAGAAGGAGAAATATTTGGTCTGTACCACAATGCTTAGCCCTTTTATAGTTAGTACAGAACATTACATTTGCCAGTCAGCCAGCCTCAAGCATTACCTACATTCTGGGAAAAAGGAGTTAATGCAGCTTCACTGACTTCCCAAGGAGAAAGGGGAACAGATGGTAACGTATAAAAGTGGCAGCAAGATCACTCTATGGGGAAAGTAGAGACTCAGAATTAAGTAGATAAGAATCACTAAAACACATACACAAGACCCTCCACACACACACAGCTGAGAGCCTCGTGAGCTGTGAAAGCATCCTTGGGTTTTTCACTCTCATGTTTCTAATGGAAAAGCTAACATGACACACTTTGTTTACTTATCCATTTTTAAATAACCATGATCTTGTAAGCAGGGATGTGCAGTTTCAGGAAGTGGTTGTTAGTCAATCACTTAACTATGATTAAGGCTAAGATTTTGTCATGGTTATTTTTAGTAAAGTCACAGACAGGTCACGGGCAATAAACAAAAATTCACAGAAGCCATGACCTGTCTGTGACTTTTGCTGCTGCGGCTCCATGGTTTCCCCCACCACCGTGGTGGCTGCGAACTGTGAGGTTCTCCCCACCCCCACCATCCCCTGGCACGAGGCTGTTGCCCGTCACTGGAACCCTGCAGGGGGACAATGAGGAAGCTGTCACCTGTCGCTGGAACCTGCCAGGGCCCTGCTGGCTGCCAGCTCCAGTCCCTGGGTCCCAGGGGCTGAAGCAGAAAATGTCAGGGAGGTCTCTGGAAGCATGACTTCCATGACATAAACATAGCCTTAACTATGATATTACAACATAGCAAACACACCAAAATAGTAGCTATGAGATGAGGGAACAATGAGAGTCATTTCTGGTCACAAACTGAAAAATTTTGTTTCATATATAATTGTATTTTGAATTAAGGGGACACATCTTAGGATCCCAACAATTATCAGATCCAACAAAATTTGCGTCGAGTGTCCAAAGCTTAGACAGCACACTTCAATGGATAGAATTGCATTGAATTAGTTTGAAAACCCACATTTATAATCTGTTACAGCCATATTAAAACACTACAAACTACTCTCTCAATTTCTATTTTGTACTAATTATCTTTTACACAAAGCAAAGTCATAACATTTAGTACACCTCAAATGCAGACTACAATTCTCCACCCAACAAAGGAGGCGTCAGCATAAGAGTAGCAGACATCAATCAGCCTCTAGCATCAAGGCCAACGCCACACATCAGATTCTTTTTGCATCAGTAAAGTATCTTACTTATTTGGAATCTGTGAAAAGATTTCCTTCACCCACTTCTCCAAAGTGTCCAAAGTTTCTAGTAAGGAAAGAAAAAAGAAAGCTAGAAATGTAACTCACTAACGAGCATAGAGCCAAGTTTTCAGGAAAAGGCATGTTGAAAATCTTCCACCATTAATCCAAATTAGCTTGGGGACCCAGAGTAAACAGACTCATTAGAGCCTACAAATCAGTATTCAGTAATGCTCAATAGACCCAGAGGGTAAACTTCAAAACCTGTTGGGCTGATTTCCCCAATTTTACCAAATCCCATAGATAACTGGTTTTGGATTATGCTTTGATGATGGTCATATGTATCCATTACAACTACAACTGAGAGATTAGGTGGCACCTGTGGCTTTATGATTTGCTAGATCCTTATAGTATAGCAGGTCTGCTCAACCTTCTCAAGCACAGTATAAATAATGCAGTGGTCTCCAAAAGGGGTACATCTGGCACAGTTGTGCACCTGAGCAGCATACGGTGACCCTAGGCACTACTGAATGCACACCCTACTGCAATGATATTTGTATAAAATATGTCTTGTGAGGCATCATACAAAAACTAGTAACACGCTGGTTATGAATATAATTGTAAAATGAACATGTGACTTTATTAATTCCCTCCTTATGATGTTATTAGAATATGTTTAAGATAAGACAGTCTAGCCTAGGTAAAGGTGATAAAGCGGTCTGTCCTAGACAAAGGAATGTGAGTTTACCTCAATTTATATAATAGCAGTAAACAAAGATATTGAGCTAAACCAGCCAGGGTTATCCTGAGTCTGGACTTGAGAGACAGAGAATTAACAGAGCTCTTGCACCCCAAAGAGACACTGAAGGCTGAATCCCCAGGAGGCTTTCCTCACTTGTAAGACAAAGACATTTCTTTGGGAATATAAGGAACAGAGAAAGACTCCGTCTTTATCTTTCATCTTAAGGAGACAAAGAAACCATGCAATTTGAGCTCTGTGATGAGTCCTAGACAGGCCAGCCAGTAAAAAGCTGGAAAGGAGACTGCGGGTGAGAGAAACCATCTTGAACACATTGATAAACCCACATTCCTTTGTCTAGGGCAGACCTGTTTATCATCTTTGCCCAGACTAGGTTATCTTGTCTTAATCATGTTCTAGTAACATCACACAGAGGGAATTTATAACTTCACATATAATGTTAATACATGCATTTTACAATGATATTCATACCCAGCATGTTATTAGCTTTTACATGATACCTCACAAGACATACTTTGTACAAATATCATTGCAGCAGTGTGTAGTGTGTGAATACAGTGGTGCCTAGGGTCACACATATTATAGACTGTCAAATGGGAAACATTTTTCCTTATAAAGGAAGGAATACAATACGTCAAGTTAACAACTCACAAAAATTTTGAATAAGAGAAAGTGTCAGTACCAAGAGTTATGCATTAGTGGTCCCTGTAGCATAGCTAAAATGATTATGTAAATCAAAAAGAAAATAATATTTTCTTCAACAGATATGGGACTATGAAAATAAGTAGCATGGTTACTGACTTCTATGCGTTTCTTCCCAATGACTAGCCATAGTTGCAGAACTTCTGTTCACATAGTCCTGCTTTTTGCAAATATTATGCAAATATATCTGCAAATATTCGGGCAATGCACCGAAACATACTATTTGTTACAATTATGGTAGCGTCAAGATCCCCTAACCAAAACTGGGGCACCATTATGTACTCCTGACAGATTTCTGCACCCCTGTGTGGGTGCAGAATTCATACAGGCCACATTTTTCTGTGGCCCCTGCACAAAAAAATGCCTAAAAATTCTGCAGCGCGTCTGTTCCAGCGTGTCTGGAGCAGCTTTAGAGACGGGAGAGGGGGGCTGGGCGTGTGCCCCTACATGGTTGATCACCATCGGGGGCGGTGCGGGGCTGGGCATACGTGCATGCCAACAAGCGAGAGAAAGAGACTGTCCCTCTCTCTTGCAACTGCAGCTCACTGGCGTGGAAGGGCAGGACTTTTTATTATGCACGAGGCAGGCTAGAGGTAGAAATGTAGCAGCTTGCCTGAGTTAATTGATCTCATTCTCTGAGGCAGAAATGTAGTAGCCTGCCAACATTGTTAAAGTTCCTATTGTTAGTTAACTGTTCCCATTCTTAGTCAATTCCCCTAAGAGCATAAAACCTGTGAAAGTTTTAAGGCCCCTACATTGCCAAAGTGATGTAAAAGAGCCTTATTATAAATGACAGTAAGGGAATCCTCAGCTAGGAAGATCTATGTGCTTTCTCACTTTTTTTCTGTGCCAAAGTGGGGTTAGATTCAGCTCAAGATTTATTTTACTTACCCCTTTAAAAAAAAAAAAGACTTTGAGGGCAAATAAAATGTCAGGACAATCAGAACCAAGCACTTCCCAAAGTACCCAGCCAGATCCAGGACAATGATTAGCAAAACTGTACGACTTTCATGTGTGAAAGTCTGAGCAATTTAAAATGACAGTCTACCTTTTTTTTCTATTTAGTATTCTGTAATGTAATTTAAATGAAAATCCAGTATTATAACTGCAATTCAGGGTATTAGTTACCAAGTCTTTGTAACTTAACCTTCATGTGTTTAGGAAATGCCGAATAGTTATTGTGACTTTTTTCTGTATTGTAGTTTAAATAAATTACCAAAACTGGTGTGATTATATTGCATTCTTTTGACAAATAAAGTATGCAGAATTTTGAATTTTTTTGCGCAGAATCCCCCCAGGAGATCCGGTATTTCACACTTGATGCTTAGATCTCAATCACCACTACCAGGGAATTTAAATAGAAAAAAAGCTAAACACTGGCATTTTCTATGGATTTATAAACCAATAGAGGTGACTACAGTAGAATCATCATTAGCTAATGAGCAGCCAGGTGTAAGTTCTGTGCTGAAACAGTCCTCTACTTTAAAGCAGTATGTAAGAATTTGTATTTAAGCAACAAATGATGTTACCTTTAGACTGGACAACTACGTTCATATAGTGAGCAGAGTAATAGTGCTGCCAAAAATCCCTCAGTCTGGTGTAGATATCAGTATTACTCTTTTTAGGCTCATGCTTTAGTGTCTCTGCATTACCTGTAAATGTTAAAAAAGTAGCTATTTGGCCTCACATTACTAGTGCTTTTCTAATCACAAGATCTAATCATAGAATCTAATCTTGGATTCCTTATGCACAAGAATTTCACAGTTTTGGATGTGCAAGGAATGCATGATGGAGCACAGAATGTTCAGGCCATGAATACATGAACAAATACTGAGATAAAATACATACCGGTACATAGGGAAAAAAGTTTTAACTAATATTAATATTGTGGTTAAATACAATGATTGCCAGGAAAGTCAGAGTCCAAGGGACAGCAATTTTAAAAATTACTCTTCTCTGAAGTTTTTTACCTCCTATTGTTACAATAAACTCTTAAGAGCACTGTAATAAAGATTAGAGACTATATCTTTTTCTGTATTTTGCAGTTCATTCATTTTGTGCACTACACAGACCCTTGTGCATAGCCAATTTCACTATTTACCCTGTTTATATGAGTCTTTCATAACATGGGAGAGAAAAAACATTATGATTACAGGAAAATGTTACTATAACCCACAAAAAGTGTCAGGAGAGATTCAGGATTAGGTGTAGCACCTAAAACTAGTCTTTTTTAAAAGACTAGACTGCAAGTTGACAGGATCTAAGGCTGGTTCTAACCTTGTAATTAATGCACAGCAGCACACATGGGGTTTGATTCTACAGGGACTGTATGCGGTGAAAGAAAGAACGTGAATTCTCCCTTCTACCCACCCCTACTCACAAGACTGTACAATGGCAGTGAAGCTGCCACTCAGATGCTATTGCAGCTTTGAGGCTGAACCAACTGCTTTCAAAAACCTTCCTTGTGAGCCCACAGGTACCTTGTCTTTTACATCCAAGATGCAAATACTATTTTTCCAAGATTTATAATGGATAAGACGGGAAGCTACATGAACCACAGCTGCCCTAGTTGATATCACCAGTACACTAACAATAAGTTACCATGAATGGGCATGAGGCAAATAGCAAGGCTGGAGTTGAAAATATCTTCAATTCACATAGCACTTTTTATCGTGAAGTGTGTTACAGTATTCAAAATGCAGAATTGTTTTCACATATTTCAGCTAGCACCAGAGTTTGGTGAAATACTAAAGAATCTCATATTGTTAAGACATCAGTTTTTCTATATTACACATATTTGTTAAAGTCTTAGAATGTCAGGACAAAACTCACCCCAGAAAAACTTCTTCATTGGATGCCCAGGTCTGGCAAGGCTTCCAAGTAGCAGCTCCCTCCTGTTTGCATCAGAGGGCCTTGCTAGTTGATATTCTGTTAATTTTATAGATTTAGCACTGTATTAAACCACTGGGCAATGTTCTAATGTAACTAACATCAATTTTCAACAGGGCCATACATAGTACATGGAACAGCACTGGACATGCTTTTTGTCAGGTACACAAAGTAGTAGTGAATTAGTTAAACTACATTATTTGCTGCCAATGCTCAAAAAAGGAAGACAAGAGCAGAAGGGAAAGAAAAAAAGACCACTCAGCCCATTGCTGAGAAACAGAATATGGGGAGGGAAGAGAGAAAAGGTGGTTATTTACCTGTACTATAACTGTTCTTTGAGATATGGGTGCAAACGTGTATTGCACACAGGCATGTGTACACCCAGTGCACGGAAGCCAGAGAATTTTGTCTCACAGTACCCAGAGGGGCTGTGCTCATGCCCTGTGGCTCTAATTCTCCCCTGGCTATTTAAGAGCAGCACTGCCCTTCACATCAAATGTCAAGAATAGAGACTCCGATGCAGAGATGACAAAGGATGGATCGTGGAATACACGTCTGCGCTCACATCTCAAAGAACAACAGTTGCAATAAAGGCAAGTAACTGTCTTTTCTTCTTCAAGTGCCTGCAGGCACGTATTCCATTCAAGTGACTCACAAGTAGAACAGAGGAGGGGCTCAGAGTCTACTAAAGAATGACTGCAGGACGGGCTTCCCAAAGTTTGCATCTGACCTAGACGCCATGGTAATCACATAGTGCCTGGTAAAAGCACGTACAGAACACCAGGCAACAGCCCTTCAAATGTCAAATACTGACATATCACTGAGGAATGCTATCAACGTCGCTTGGGCTCTCATCAAATAAGCTTGCAACCTCTGTGAAGGCATGGTCTGAGCTATTGCATATGCTAATGTAAAGTAAGAAGTTATCCACCTGGAAATCATTTCCACAGAGACTGCCTGACACCTCATCCGATCCACGTAAGAGACAAACAGATGAGGTGATTGAAAAGTCAGTCTCTCCAGATAGCATGCCAAGCATTGTCTCACATCCCAAGTGTGAAATCGTTGTTCATCCACATTGGAGTTTAGGAAAGGACATCAGTAAATAAATCATTTGCTTACGGTGAAACTGCAAAACCATTTTTGACAAAAAAATTGGATGTGGCGATAGGGTCGCTTTGTCCTTGAAAAACTGTGTACACAGGGGCTCTACCATTAAGGCCTGCAGCTTGCATACTCTCCTTGCAGATGTTACAACTACAAGAAAGGCTGTCTTCTGGCACAGGAGGGACAGATAACAGGTTGCCAGTGGCTCAAACAGAGGACTCATAAGGACAGCCATGACAGTATGAAGGTCCCACAAAGGAACAGGCTCTTCCACATGCAGGTGAAGATGAATGATTTCCCTTAGAAACCTCACCACCATGAAGTTTGAGAAAACTGACTTCCCTTGGGTGAGCAGATGAAACACAAAGATAGCTGCCAAGTGAACCCTCAATGGGCTGACCAAGATACCAGATGACTGAAGGCACAATAGGTACTCCAAAATGTCCTGAATACAGGCCAGCGTGGGCTGAATTTCCACAGCAAGCGACCAAACTGAAAAACACTTCCACTTGGCCAAATAAATCACCCTAGGAGAGGACTTGCAGCTGTTAAGCAACACTTGTCAAAGAGCTTACGAACATCGTTCCTCCTTCTCATCTAGTCATGTAGCATCTATGCAGGCATTGTAAATGGCTCTGAGCTCCAGGAATTGATATGGAGGGAAACTTCCTATTCCACCAACAAGCCCTGAATTTTCAACACCCCTAGATGCACTCCCCAGCCTACAGAAGAGACAACAGTGACCAAGTAACCTTAGCCAAAACTGTGTTCTGTTTAGTTTTGCTAACAATTATTTAATTCAACTCCCTGAGTTTTTCTGAGGTCTTTATTAAATATATCACTCTCCTACCCAAGTTTTCAACTAAGGGCAGAGAAAGCTGCACATTTGAGGTGTTTAACACATCCTCAGCAAACAAGGGAAGACCAGACTTGACATTCCTAACCTTTACTTAAAAACACAAGCAGGAAAACATTTTTTTTTTAAATCTCTTAAAATCTACATTTTTAGCCCTTCTTTACATATCGTGAAGCATCAAGAAAAGGCACCGATCCATTCTTGTCCCTTTGCAGATCCCTATTAACCTAGTTCTCTTTTATTCTTTGCATCAGTTTTTTATTACACCAGGTGACTGGTGAAATTTTTCAGAGAATGCCTTTTTGATCAGACGAAGTTTCTCCTCATTTACAGACTGATTCGCACTCTAATTATTCTCCCTCAAGTGTACTCTTTTTTCACAAGACTAGTCTCCCTATCAATGTTAATACCAACATTTGCTCTGCATTGAGGGGTGAACACAACACAACTTGACTCACACTCACATAAATGCATATATTTCATTAGGCTCAAGGATTTAATAAATTTGATTGACATAATTTTAGCCCCTAGTTAAATAAAGGACATATAAAATATTATGCATCAGACTTCACAGCACTTAATACCTGAGAATCTTGTCAAGAACTTCAGTACAGTCAATGCTGTAGAGCTAAACAAAAAAAAGTTATGACAAAAATATTACTCTTACCACTATCGACAGCCTCAACTTCACGATCAATAGCATCCCTGATCATTAGTGGGTGAATGAAGAACTGTGCCCACCTAAAACAAAGAGAAAAATGGCAAATCGTTCCTGTTGTCTGCTGAAAGATTGTCCAGAAAGTTGGTTTTATAACAAAAAACTGCCTTTATGACAAACAACAATATTCATTTTTTTTAAGGTTTAGGACTTGCAGTAACTCAGAAACAATTATATAGTTCTGGACTCTTTTGACACATGTTCTTAATGCCTCTGAAGTAAAATGAATAAACCCAATTATTTAATATTTTCAGAAAGACAAAGGGCAAGGTCTTTGGAGTGGAAGTGGACTGGTAGAATATGGTACCAAAGGATGCAGAATCATCTGCCTTCAGCACATAAGACCTGTCATACCAGATCTGACCCTCAGTGGTCCATCTAGACAGTGGTGCCTATCTCAAACTGTGGTCAGTACCAGATGCTTCAGAGGAAGATGGAAAATTTTTTGAAAATCCTACTAAGTTCTTTGCCTCAACAATCCCTTCTGACAGAGTTCCACACATCGATTATGCAAAAAAAAAATTTCTTCATCAGTTTTAAATTAGTTGCCTTTCAATTTCATTAACTTCACACATGTTCTTGTATGAGTGATGATGAATAGGTGTGCCTATTTATCCCCCACATACCATTCATTATTTTATAGACATGTATCATGTCATCTCTGCTTTGTCTCCTCTCAACTAGCCCCAGCTTTTTCAGTCTCTCCTCATATCCAAGTCTTGCCATATGTCTAAATATCTTTGCTACCCATCTTTGAGACTCTTCAAAATAGCCAAAGCTGGTCTGATTCCCACCTTTGGAGGGATGAATTCTCCCCTCCAATGTTTTACAGAAGGCTATCATAGAACTCCCATTGTGTGTGCATTCTAGTGCAGAAATTAGTTCCATCACCATATTAATGGCCTATTTGCAGTACAACCTAATTTCCCCCCAGGTAGTTTTGTCAACATCAAAAATATTTAAATTACCCGCCTCATCAGAAGATTGTTTAATTTCCCTATGACAGAAATGGAGCTTTATTGTATTGACATATCCTATGGCATGATGAGAGTTAATTAATGATCCTTCCTGGCACTGAACATATATTTTGTTGAATAAAGCAGTCGATCATTTTACTGCACCTTTTTGGTAGTACACTGCCTTATAAGAATCAATATTTTTTTTAAAAAAAGAGACTGTTAATAAAAAATTAAACAGCCTAAGGGGACACATATTTAAAAGGAACAGGCCAATAAAAGATTCTCCTTTAAGTAGCCAGGTAAATGGAATGAACTAGCAATTGCAACAGTAGGAGAATTTATATAGTCCTACAAGTAATCTGGCATAAATACATATTGAAAGCTGTCCTACTTTCATAGCAGGTGCATAAATTACATCACTCCTAAGAGACTATACACTACTGGGATACTACTACTCCCTCAAAAGACAGTGAGAGATCTAAGGGGAAATCACAGTCTCCTTCCATCTATAATGACCTCGGTTGTAATAAGGGGACCTATGGAAGCTCAGCAACGGCAGGCTCCCTTCCATCAGGCCAAGACAAGGCAATGCAAAGTTATATATGTAGTTTCCTCAGGCAGACACACATTGTGTTAATCTATTTTAAATGAACCAGTGCTTTATTTGGTGTGATCAAGGTTACCTATCAAGTGCTTCTTTGAAGTACTTCTGCTGGATATCAAAATGGAAGACTGTCCGTTCACAGTCAGTTGAAGCGTTGTCACTGCCCCCATGTTTCTTCAGGAATGCGTCAAACCCATTCTCATCTGGATACTTCAAACTGCCCATAAATACCACTGAAACACAATCCATCAAAATTAAGCAGATATAGACACAATGATGATTTCAGAAAGGCACAGTTACATATAGACAGCATGATTTCCCACTGACTTACACCTTGTGAAGGCATTTACACAAAGCAACAGTGCATTACCATTTGATTTGACAGCATTTTATGTCCATTTGCACAGGTGCAAATTACTACACAAGATGTAAGACAGTGGGAAATCTAGCCTGTAGCAATTGACCAGCCTAAAAATGCAAGTTATAGAATGGAATCATTTCAGAATACGGAAAACACTTAGTTTCAAGTATGATTTTGAGTTGCACCTTAAAACTGAGCACATCAGTCTCAATCTAGTCCTCAGTAGGCCACCACAGAGAAACAGACATACAAGCACTCAAATTTATCTAACTGAGTATGCCTAACGTTGAAGGAAGTGTAAGAAACAAGCAATTACTATTTCAGTCCATTTATTGAAAATAAATGATTAATCTAAAGTGCACTGTCGGGGCGGGGGGGATTTATGTCTAAGACCAGCAGTACCCACGAGTGGCGATATTCTGGACTATGTTGCCCAGAGTCATTGGTGAGAGTCAATGGCTGCCTTGCCTAGCAGCTAGAGTCTGTGACCACCATGCTTAGTGGCTAGAGCCAGTGTCAGTGTCACCCAACAGTGAGAATCAGTGACTGGGGCTAGGGGAACCCAGGCCCATGCTGCTCCACCAGGTTCCAACCCGGGGCCCTTCAAAATAATGGTCCAGACACATAGCTTACAGACAGGCGCCAGCCCTTACCCCTGTGCCCTGGGTCACTTCCTACCCCTGCTTCTGTTCCTCCATCTGCACCACTGGTCTGTCTTGGAGTCCCCTTGGTGTCCTTTCAGGTCACTCTCCCGAGTGTCTTCCCCTATTTGCAGCAACACGTCATCCTCAGCCCCCACAATTGAAAGGCCTGCATGGCTTGACTGTGAGCTCTGTCCCAGCTGCTTCTCTGTAGGAGGCTACAGAATCCAACTGCTCTCCTGCTCGGTCCGCCTAGACTGAGCTGAGCTGCTCCCTTTTAAACTCTCCCTCCACTGGGAGCATGCCCAGCAGGGCAGCCAAAGGTATCCAGAGCAACTCCTTAACCCTCACCTCACCAGTGTGGAGTTAGCACACCCCATCACATAGAATCATAGAACTGCAAGGGACATCTAGTCCAGTCCTCTGCACTCGTGGCAGGACTAAGTATTATCTAGACCACTCCTGACAGGCGTTTGTCTAACCTGTTCTTAAAAATCTCCAATGATGGAGATTCCACAACCTCCCTAGGCAATTTATTCCAGTGCTTTAACCACCCTGACAGTTAGGAAGTTTTTCCTAATGTCTAAACTAAACCGCCCTTGCTGCAATTTAAGCCCATTGCTTCTTGTCCTGTCCTCTGAGGTTAAGAAAAACAATTCTTCTCCCTCCTCCTTGTAACAACCTTTTACATACTTTAAAACTGTTACCATGTCCCCTCTCAGTCTTCTCTTTTCCAGACTAAACAAACCCAATTTTTTCAAACTTCCCTCAGAAGTCATGTTTTCTAGACCTTTAATCATTTTTGTCGCTCTTCTCTAGACTCTCTCCAATTCATCAACATCCTTCCTGAAATGTGGCACCCAGAACTGGACACAATACTCCAGTTGAGGCCTAATCAGCACGGAGCAGAGCGGAAGAATTACTTCTCGTGTCTTGCTTACAACACTCCTGCTAATACATCCCAGAAGGATGTTCACTTTTTTTGCAACAGCGTTACACTGTTGACTTATATTTGGCTTGTGCTCCACTATGAACCCCAGATCCCTTTCCACAGTACTCCTTCCTAAGCAGTCATTTCCCATTTTGTGTGTGCAACTGATTGTTCCTTCCTAAATGGAGTACTTTGCATTTGTCCTTATTGAATTTCATCCTATTTGCTTCAGACCATTTCTCCAGTTTGTCCAGATCATTTTGAATTTTAATCCTATCTTCCAAAGCACTTGCAACCCCTCCCAGCTTGGTATCATTCACAAACTTTATAAGTGTACTCTGTATGCCATTATCTAAATCATTGATGAAGATATTGAACAGAACTGGACCCAGAACGGATCCCTGCGGGACCCCACTCATAATGCCCTTCCAGCATGACAGCATGGAAAAAGGCAAATATAGTGCCCATCTTTAAAAAAGGGAAGAAGGAGAACCCGGGGAACTACAGACTGATCAGCCTCACCTCAGTCCCTGGAAAAATCATGGAGCAGGTCCTCAAGGAAACCATTTTAAAGCCCTTGGAGGAGAGGAAGGTGATCAGGAACAGTCAACATGGATTCACCAAGTGCAAGTCATGCCTAACCAACCTGATTGCCTTCTATGATGAGATAACTGGCTCTGTGGATATGGGGAAAGCAGTGGACGTGATATATCTTGACTTTAGCAAAGCTTTTGATATGGTCTCCCACAGTATTCTTACCAGCAAGTTAAAAAAGTATGGATTGAATGAATGGATTATAAGGTGGATAGAAAGCTGGCTAGATTGTCGGGCTCAACAGGTAGTTATCCATAGCTCGATGTCTAGTTGGCAGCCGGTATCAAACGGAGTGCCCCAGGGTTCGGTCCTGGGACCGGTTTTGTTCAACATCTTTATTAAGAATCTGGATGATGGGATAGATTGCACCCTCAGCAAGTTCGCGGATGACACTAAGCTGGGGGGGAGAGGTAGATACGCTGGAGGGTAGGGATAGGGTCTAGAGTGACTTTGACAAATTGGAGGATTGGACCACAAGAAATCTGAAGAGTCCTGCACTTAGGATGGAAGAATCCCATGCACCGCTGCAGAAAAGGACCTGGGAATTACAGTGGATGAGAAGCTGGATATGAGTCAGCAGTGTGCCCTTGTTGCCAGGAAGGATAACAGCATATTGGGCTGCATTAGTAGGAGCATTGCCAGCAGATCGCGGGAAGTGATTATTCCCCTCTATTCAGCACTGGTGAGGCCACATCTGAAGTATTGCGCCCAGTTTTGGGCCCCCCCTCCCCCACTACAGAAAGCATGTGGACAAATTGGAGAGAGTCCAGCGGAGGGCAAAGAAAATGATTAGGGGGCTGGGACACATGACTTACAAGGAGAGGCTGAGGGAACTGGGCTTGTTTAGTCTGCAGAAGAGAACAGTGAGGGGGGATTTGATAGCAGCCTTCAACTACCTGAAGGGGGGTTCCAAAGAGGATGGAGCTCGGCTGTTCTCAGTGGTGGCGGATGACAGACCAAGGAGCAATGGTCTCAAGTTGCAGTGGGGGAGGTCTAGGTTGGATATTAGGAAACACTATTTCACTAGGAGGGTGGTGAAGCACTGAAATGGGTTACATAGGGAGGTGGTGGAATCTCCATCCTTAGAGGTTTTTAAGGCCCGGCTTGACAAAGCCCTGGCTGCAATGATTTAGTTGGGGTTGATCCTGCTTTGAGCAGGGGGTTGGACTAGATGACCTCCTGAGGTCTCTTCCAACCCTAATCTTCTATGCTACAATGACTATGAACCACTGATGATTACTCTCTGGGAACAGTTTTCCAACCAGTTTTGCACCCACTTTATAGTAGTTCCATCTAGGTTGCATTTCCCTGGTTTGTTTATGAGAAGGTCATGTGAAACAGTATAAAAAGCTTTACTAAAGTCAAGGTATACCATGTCTACCGCTTCCCCTCATCCACAAGACTTGTTACCCTGCCAAAGAAAGCTATCAGGTTGGTTTGACAAATTTGTTTTTGACAAATCCATGCTGACTGTTACTTATCACCTTATTATCTTCTAGATGTTTGCAAATTGCTTAATTATTTGATCCATTATCTTTCCGGGTACAGAAGTTAAGATGACTGGTCTGTAATTCCCTGGGCTGTCTTTATTTCCCTTTTTATAGATTGGCACTATATTTGCCCTTTTCCAGTCTTCTGGAATCTCTCTCGTCTTCCATGTCTTTTCAAAGATAATCGCTAATGGCTCAGGTATCTCCTCAGACAGCTCCTTGACTATTCTAGGATGCATTTCATCAGGCCCTGTTGGCTTGAAGACATCTAATTTGTCCAAATAATTTTAACTTGTTCTTTCCCTATGCACATACTGTCAATTGTTGTTTAAAAAGAGAGAATGTGTGCTCCTTTCAAGTGCAGAAAATCAGTTTCTTTGCCATTGCCATTAAAACATATCCATGGTGATAAGTCTCTGTTCCAGGCCCTCCAGCAGCTGGCTGACTTAAAAAGGAAGCTTGATGTTTTAAGCTTCCCAAATGACACCTGGTAGAACTCTGGAAGACTGGTGTCTCTACATTTACATCCAACTACCAAGTATAGATTGATATTTGCACTCAGCATTGAGAAGCCTTTGATCATAACAGCAGCATGTTTTACACAAAATAGAACTCTGTAGAGAGTCACTAAAGCATAAAGAATTGAAGGTGGTTTTGGAAGGATTTGATGGATTAAAGGTTGTGGCAGTCTCAGCAAGAATCTGGCTAAGTATAATCCACAAAGAATTGGAAACACATAAGGACAATTTTTTTTTTAAAAGAACCACTGGACGCTATGGACTTTTCCATTACTTAACCAACATGATTAATCTCAAAACAACTTTCAGAAGTTGAGCTCAAAACGGGAGGAGGCTGAATTCAGCTGATGAAACATACGGAACAGAACGCTTGCGTAAGTCAGGGAGCGTCTGTATACCTTAACATATTTATAAGGATTCCTAATTTTTACTTTTTTTTTATTATGTTAAAAATGGTGAATGTTGTAACCTATTTACTGGAAAATGTTTCTTTTTCTACTCATGATATATATCTCACTGCATTTGGATGGAAATTTTAATTAAATTAGAAACACACAAAACAGCTTTTTACATTTGTTTTTATTAGTTAAATACAGCTACCTTAAATGTACTGGACACAAAGAAAAAAAGTAAGTTTATCATAACATATTTTGCATTTAATACTAGATGATTTGTTAAACAAAGAAAGAATTGACTGTAGTTTGTGACTTTAGCTGATTATTTCTGATCACTATGTCCTTCAAGATTTTGGAACTAGTTCTCATCCTTTTCTACCTCGTTTTTATTCATGGATTAGAAGAGGAAAACAAGCTTTCCTGCTTTTTCAGCTCCCAATTTTGAATGAACTAGTCAAAATGAAGAAAACATTTTCTTTCTACCTGCAGAAAAGGCAACTGCCATCAAAAGCTTATGTAACGTAAAAAAAAATCTGGTTCCAGGTGCTTAGCCAGTTACTTCCACCAGTTCACTGGTTTGACTTTCTTCAAAACTTTGGCAGCAAATGTGTTGCTTTAAACAATGGTTCGATTCACCCCCAGTCCTGAAATCTATTCTGATTGATGGATGAATATTAGATGCTCATGCCATAGCAGCACTTCCTCCTCAGCAATTAAGTATTTACTGTGATACTTGGTATTGTGAATACTGGCAAAAAAACAAGGCAGAGTAAGTTCTTGATCTGCTTGTTCGCTGCCTGTAATTTAGCTTTGTTTTTTAAGCGTTTCCTTAAATTCTTGCCAAATTTCAACAACATCAGCAATATAGCAGTTATCTTTTTTCAATTTGTCCAAAGCTATGGAAATAGATTTTAGTATAGTCAGTATAATTTCTACATTTCCCTTTAGTCTGATACTAACTATTCTGGTATGTGAAATTTCCACCTATTTTGTCACAGTTTTCTTTACAAATTGTCATCAGGATAGGCCAGATTTTTAATAAATACTTCAAAACAGTCAACCACTAAATTCCATCATACATCTTAGGGGAGAATTAGCTGTGATCCTCCTTCTCTCTTCAGTGAATCTGATGCAAAGTGATTGTTAAAGAACAACATTTCAACAACATTTTCCTTTATTCCTGGTATACCTCAGTCTTTGGCTAAAAGATACATCAAATGAGCTCTGTACTATATAAGTTTTAAGCTCACTTTTTTATCCACTTCTAAATTTCTTCTCACCGTAGTTTCAGCATTTTTACTCATTTAAATTATTTTAACATATTATAATAATATAATAAATTAGGTTTATTTTTAAAAAGAAAATGAATTTAATTTACATTAAAAATTGAATTTAAATTAAAAGAATCTGGTTTTGATTTTTTTTAATTATCAATTTTTACCCACCCAACCTTGATGCCTCCAAATTAGCCTCCCTCATATCCATTTAAAATGTTGCCACTAGGCTCATGTTCCTACCGGTCATAATGACACACAACTAAGAGCTAGTGTGCAAAGATCACTGCCTGTCATGCTGACCAATATTGCTTCATTGTTTACTTGTATTCCCCTCTGATGTATATCCATCTGATGTCTTTAGTTTTACCCTTAGATTGTAAACCCCCTAGGGCAGGAACCATCTTCTTCATTCTCTGTTTGTACAGCACCTAGCAGTAATGGGGTCCTGATCCATGATTAGGGCTACTAGACATAATGGTAATATAAAAAATAATAATGACCCCTGTGATGGTTCTCGGGATATCCAGGACAGAGAGTCACCTTGTTACCCCCGGCCTCCCGCATGAGGGAGTCATGCCTGTGCTTGGCTGGGTGTCAGCTCTCTAGCACCACCAGCCTTTCAGCCACGCAAGCACTCTCCTCTAGGCTATGCCAACCTTCAAGACAAAGAAAGGGCTAGCAATAGGTGCACCTCAAACCCTTTGAATCATTCCCTTGTGATATCCAGCCCGACACTGGCTACTCACAGAAATTCCACCAGCGTAGGATAACTCACTTATCTTTTTTACCTTAAATCACCGCTCCTGCATAACACAAGGTTTAAGAAAGGATAGAGATTCTACTAGAAACAACAGAGTGATGAAAACAAGTCATTACAACCCAAAATAAAAAAAATAAAATGTGAACCTAGGTCTACACTTATTAATGAAAGCGACAAAGAGTCCTGTGGCACCTTATAGACCAACAGAAGTATTGGAGCATAAGCTTTCATGGGTGAATACCCACTTCGTCAGACGCATGTGGTGGAAATTTCCAGAGGCAGGTATAAATATGCAGGCAAGAATCAGTCTACACGTACAGGTCTGGCTCTATTGATTTGTTTCCCAGAAGCCTCTTGCTGCAAGACAAGCCCAAGAAAGAAACCAACAGAACTCCACTGGCCATCGCCTACAGTCCTCAGCTAAAACCTCTCCAACGCATCATCAGTGATCTACAACCCATCCTGGACAACGATCCCTCGCTTTCACAGGCCTTGGGAGGCAGGCCAGTCCTCGCCCACAGACAACCCGCCAACCTTAAGCATATTCTCACCAGTAACCACACACTGCACCATAGTAACTCTAACTCAGGAACCAATCCATGCAAGAAACCTCGATGCCAACTCTGCCCACATATTTACAGCAGCGACACCATCACAGGACCTAACCAGATCAGCCACAACATCACCGGTTCATTCACTTGCACATCCACCAATGTAATATACGCCATCATGTGCCAGCAATGCCCCTCTGCTATGTACATCGGCCAAACTGGACAATACCTACGTAAAAAGATAAATGGACACAAGTCAGATATTAGGAATGGCAATATACAAAAACCTGTAGGAGAACACTTCAACATGCCTGGACACACAATAGCAGATTTAAAGGTAGCCATCCTACAGCAAAAAAACTTCAGGACCAGACTCCAAAGAGAAACTGCTGAACTTCAGTTCATTTGCAAATTTGACACCATGAGCTCAGGATTAAACAAAGACTGTGAATGGCTAGCCAACTACCAAAGCAGTTTCTCCTCCCTAGCTGTTCACACCTCAACTGCTAGAATAGGGCCTCATCCTCCCTGATTGAGCTAACCTCATTATCTCTAGACTGATTCTTGCCTGCATATTTATACCTGCCTCTGGAAATTTCCACCACATGCGTCTAACAAAGTGGGTATTCACCCACGAAAGCTTATGCTCCAATACGTCTGTTAGTCTATAAGATGCCACAGGACTCTTTGTCACTTTTTACAGATCCAGACTAACACGGCTACCCCTCTGATACTTGACACTTATTAATAGTTACCTTTCATGTCTAATAAAATAGTTTTTTCCCCAAAAGTTCTGTCTGTTGCAGAGCTGGCTGGCTTCACAGGAATCAGGATCCAATTTTTCATGAGAACAACTTGCTCCTCAAAATGTCTCCTCAGTGAAATCATCCAGAATACCTTTCCCTCATCTGTGTTATCTGAAACAATCTTTTGTTTCTATTCATGGGCAGGGCATCCCTGTCTTGTTGTAACATTACTTTTTTTACCCTCAATAGGATTTGATGATTTGCAGTTGTCTCTTATGATTTTTCCTTGATGGTTTTTGGATTGAACAAGGATAAATAATCAAGCCTTGCATTGCATCACCAACTAAACAGGGCAGAGTGACCTGAACGGCCCACCACCAAGACATATCTCCTGGTGACTAATTTTTTACTCCAAGTCTATAAAGCATACTTTCAATATACATTAATTATTCCTTAAATATCACCCATACATACACCTTGCAATTATATGAATCTTGACAAGTTACTAGCTTTTTGGAGGTATCCTAATGTTACTCTTTATGGATAAATATCCTGTAAGGCACATGTTTGGTGTAGTGAATTTGTGAAGTCTGAAGAGGTTTTTTTGCGAAGAATAGGGAGCCCTTTACCTATGAGCCTTTGTGTCACAATCACCTCACCCACTCTTCACTCTACCACACCAAGCACAGCATGTGGTCCTCATCTTTAAGGCCCTCCATCATTTAGTTCTACCCTACCTTCCAACTTGTTTGTATTATGAAGTTTACCCACCCCCAACAACTTTATATCACCAGTGATGCCAGCCCCATTTTTCCCACATTCACCTCCATGCATTCTTCATGCAACCCCTTACACTTGGGGAGAACTCCCCCTGATAATTCATGAAACCCCCATCTTAGCCTCTAACATCCCTCCTTAAAACCTTTTTGATGTGGTACCTACATATCACACCCATCTGGCATTCTCCTTCTAGAATATTTCATATAAATCAATAAATCCAAAATAATGTCATTAAATTTTCCACTTTGGGAGGAAAGACTGAAATGTTAGATGATACATACTGTGCTCCAGAAAATGTGCCAACCCAGGCAGATCCTCAGGATCACAGAAACTCCCAACAGCAACACAAAGAGCAGCTGCAGACTGCAAAATAAACACAACAGACACTGAGGAGTCACTTCTAAAAAAAAATACAGTCATTTTATCTAGTAGGCAAGAACTCCAGTTCTAACAATCTAACAGAGCTACTCTATACTCAACAAAGAACAGAAGAGTGAAACAGACCAGGATGTTCTGCTGGAAATATGAGCTATGAGTCCATAAGTAATGGTAATATAGGCTCAACCCTGAACAAGAGAGCTAGATGCTCAGATACCAGAGATGGAGGCCACATTAGTAACTAGATGGATAGGACATTCAGGAATGGAGGACCAGCCTGTTTGTCAGACCACAATATTTAAGCGCTTAGGACCATGAGAGTAGTTCTCCACTTAACAAGCTTTCACTCTGTAATATTAGCACATACCAGCTTCTCTGTACCACTTCTCTTCTTTGCTTCTTCCTTTTCTGTTAGTTCTTCCATTTCCATATCATCAGAATTATTGGGATCCTCCTCATCATCTCCATCATTGTCATCATCCTCATAATTTTCCTTGTCCTCATCCATCTCTGCTCCCGAGTCATCATCTTCATCAGTTTCAATCTCAGTCTCATCATTATCCTCCCATTCCGAAGAATCCTCCGAAGGAACACTATCCATGTTATTTGCATCCGAAATCAGTAGTGCACACAAGCCATTTTGTAACGTGAGATACCTGTGAAATCAATTATAATAATATTTGAATCTTCAATTGTCCACCTACAGCCACAGAACTCCCAAAGAAAGTCTGAAAAATTCTGAATTTTTCATATTTGTTCTAGGCCAGAGGTTCTCAAACTGTGGGTTGGGACCCCAAAGTGGGTCACAACTCCATTTCAATGGGGTCACCAGGGCTACCTTAGACTTGCTGAAGCCCGAGCCCCACCACTTGGGGCCGAAGCCTGAAGGCTTCAGCCCTGGGCGGCAGGGTTCAAGTTACAGGCCACCTCCCCAGGCTGAAGCCCTTGGGCTTCAGCTTGGCTGCCCCCCGCCCTTCCCCCCACCTGGAGCAGTGGAGCTCGGGCTTTGCCCCCTCCCGGGGCAATGGGGCTCGGGTGGGCTCAGGCTTCGGTCCCCACTCCTGGGGTCATGTAGTAATTTTTGTTGTCAGAAGGGGGCTGCAGTGCAATGAAGTTTGAGAACCCATTCTAGGTTTTTGAACTGCATTCCCTTCCCCACAGTGATGTCCTTGAAGATCTGCTAAGCGTGAAAGGTAGTTTGAGAGCAGAAAAGTTAAAAAAAATATCTACCAGTCCCTTTTTGCCATTTAATTATATTCCCAGACAAAAACTGGGTTAAAATGGAGATAAGGTTGATAGTAATTTAGAGTAAAAAGCACCACAGGGATGTTGCAATTATCCACCCACCCAACACACTCTCACACACACCAAAAACCAGAAGCATTATAAAACCAGGCAGTTCAGAGTTAAGTTTAAATGTAAGAGAAATCCAAACATTTTAATCGTATTCTATATAGTTTCTTATACTATGCTCATTACCACAGTATTTGAGCACCTTTCAGTATTGAACTGAGCAATGTGACTAACATCCATCACATGTTCTTTGTTCTCTCTCATATCCTCTTCCTGGGGAAGAATTCTGTGTGCATGCAGGTGTTGTTTTAGTAGGATGTTTTGTTTTAAATTTAAATATATATATATATATATATATATATACACACAGAGCATATGTTTATATTAGAGAAGGGAAGATCAAAGAAGTGCAATATGCACAGAGAAGAGAAAGTGTTGAAGTTTGTGATGGTTCTTCGTTCCTGTGGGAGTTCATTACACAGTCTCAGACCAGCCTGAGAAAGATCTGTCTCCTGCACAGATGAGCTTTTCCCTTATTGTAGAAAGGTCCATTGTGCCATAGGAGCAGAGTTGTTGACCATGGTGTTCATGTTGGACTTCTAGGTAACATTTTAGATATCCTGGGCCCAAGCATTGAGCATCTTGATAAAAAGGACCAAGACCTTGAACTTGACTTGACATTTTATAGGAAGCCAGCATATTGAGCAGAGGACAGATATGATGTGTTTTGTGATAGCCTATTTCACTTAGGAGAAGCACTCTAAGCACTGAAGGCTTCATGCCCAGGTATACTGCATTGTTTTAGTCTAGATGAGAGGTGACAAAGGCATATATAAATGAGGCCAGGTCATTGGCCAAGAGGATGGGATGAAATCTCCTCGCCAACTGCCCAACACCCCCTTCTTGGGGGGCGGGGGGGGGGATGTCTTAAAAAGAAAAGACTTTTTAGGAAAAACTAGCAGAAGCAGCAGCTGTCTGCCAACAATGGAAGAAAACGTTATCAGCATTGCTGCCACCCCACTATCTCCTGGAACCGCAGATATTCTTCATCCTAATCCTGCGAGATGTCCTGACCAGACCAGGCCTGAGAGAAGCAACCAGACGACACTATCACCTGCATTGGCTCAATTCTGAACACCAGCTGGGATATGAGACTTCATCTTTCCCCTCGCACTCTCCATGTGTCCTTTTCTTTCACCACCTTCTTTCTTAAAGTCTGGCTATGATGGCTGTCACATGCTGCTTGTACACGGTAGATTGCAGGACTGCTACAAGTAGGACAGGCTTCTGTACCAGTTTTGGACTGGCGACAGAACATTCATCATGAAGAAAGATACAAGAAATGTGTTCTTTTTAAGATACTTTAAAGCACTGTCAGGTATAGCTGTTACCAGCTCAGATAAAGTATGTTATACATAGTGCCACCTACTGGCTGAACATTATAATAGTTTTAGCATTCCATCACATCTCCCCCTTTAAGTTTTATAGTCGTACCATTTACAAAATTTTACTCTATCATGCAAACTTTAAAGTTCAGTACATATCAGTTTGTTAAGGAGTTTCTGAATCATACAGGTTTTCTAATTACATGACTCAAATGCCTAATAACTTTGTGATCTGGCTGTCCATTAGTTGCAATGGCTGGCTGTGGTTGGTTTGGAATTGTATTCTTCTTGTTCTACATCTGCCATTTGTAAAGTTTACTCTGTTGATTGTTCCTTCTGAGGAACAAACTGAAGATGTGAATGGGCTCTGAATTTTTCCACATCTTGTGAAGTTAGTCTGAAAGATTTTGTAGCTACGGACTTGTCCCTCTTTTCCTCAGTGGATTTATGATCATTACTTTTTGCAGTCATGCTGTGTCTCTTTACTGCTTCTGAGCTAGTTTCTGGTTTTTCAAGTTGCTCCTGCTTTTTGTTTTGCTCCTTCACTAGCTCACTCTGCTTTATTATCTGGATAGCTGTGTGTATGGTTAAAACGGTCTTTAATTGAACCTGCTGTGAGACACTTTTGTCTGTAAGCCCAATAATCAGTCTCTCTTTGATATTTTAATGTTTTACAATCCACAAATCTGAGTTTTCTGCCAAGGTATGAAAGACTTTTACAAAAGATTCAACACATTCCCCTGGTTCTTGATCTCTCTGGCGAGAACACGCCCTTTCATAAACCACATTTCTCTAAAGGTATAAAGTATGCATCAAACAGAGCCAGAACTCTTTCAGTCATCCTTGTGACTGTCATCAGTAAAGGCAAAGGATTTAAAGATATGCTCTGCCTGCTTCCCCATAGCATAAATTAAAGACAATACCTGGATGTCTCCAGTTTCCTGGTAGAGTTTAGTAGCAATGTGAAGTCTTGCAAAGCATTTCTTCCAGTCAGTCCATTCTGAATGCCTGTCATAGCTGAAGTTCTCTTGTGCATCAAAGAGTGATATGTTGATTATATCCATCCTGCAACCTTTGTTGTTGTTTTTTCTTCTGTTTGAAACCTTTGTTGCTGATTTCCAACATTGCATATTTGCAACACTGCTGTAAGCCTGTGACCAGAAAGAGGCAACTAAAAGAAATGTCCTAAACAGCCTGATGCCAGTACAAGTTTCCAGATCTCAGAGTGGATGACAAAACTGTGTATTGGGCCTGTGTTTTCCCAACAGTGAGTTTGCAAGTGAAAGTCAACACCAGAGACAGAAACTACATTTTCTATCTTTGCTATTCTTTACTTTACCCTTTTATGTGTGTCTTGTTTTAGCGTAAGAAACAGGATTTTAACAACAGCAACAATATAAAAAGCTCCAGATCATATCAACTAACTTTTCCTTCTCCCCAAAAAACAAACAAACAAACAAAAACACCAGAGACAGAACACTTTTTTCTTTGAAGGACCCAGTTTTAAATGAAATTTAACTCAAACTAATTAATAGATTTAATTATCAGAATATTTAATAAAACAAGCCTTAACTCCTGCATTTTTAAACTAGATAGTGATAACATGGTTCATTCTTCAATTCACACTTTCAGTGTGTAGATATGGGTTTATAAAGCAAGGAAGAGTAGTGTATGTTAACCCTAGTTGTGTTGTGTTTACTCAGAGCTGGATTAAGAAAATCTAGAGCACAATACACACCACAAAATGAGGGTCCTGTGGCTTCATCCACCCCCATTTGGAGTGGCAGATTCTCATTGAGATGCATATGGAAATTTGCACTTCTCAAAGCTATTGGTTCAGACTGTCTGCAGATTTAGGCAGCTATAGTTGCATCTGTTACACCCAGGTCAGAGACCTTTCAAGGGGGCCGCAAGGCCCCACAGCTGAAACCCGGTGCCCTGAACCCTAGCAGCCCCCACAAAGCCTGCAGTGGTGCGGTGCAGAGCTGAAGCCGGCAGCAGTGCAGGGCAGAAGTCGGCAGCGGTGCAGGGCAGAGGCTGGGAGCCCCTGTGCCCTGAAGCCAGGAGTGGCACAGGGTCAAGCTGGGAGCACTGGCGCCCTCCCCCTCTGGAGCTGGGAGCAGCGGGGGAGCCCCAGTGCCCCCCGAGGGTGCTCCCTGGGCTGAAGCCAGGAGCAGGGCAGGGCTGAAGCCCTGAGCCCTAGTGCTCCCCACAGGCAGAAACCCTGAGCCCATGGGCAGAGTTGTGGGGCACAAGGGTGTTGCCCTCCTAAACTGCAGTGCCTTACCCAGAGTGGGGTAGCCCCGGGGGAAGCTCCAGCCCCCCACCCCCAGTTCCCCTCAGGCCCCACCCTCTGGCCAGGTTGTAGGTGGGAAGCCAGAGCCAGGCAGTACGGGGCAGCTGTTCCTCTGGCTGGTGGTGTCATCTGGAGCAGGCAGCTGTGGCTTCCCCCCATTTGATGCTGGTGTCCAGGGTTGCAGCTGCTCCTCAGCTCCCAGCCCCCTTTGACTGCTCATGCAGCCGCTAAAAGCTGCCCAGGCAGGGGGACCCCGCTCCAGGATGGCAGAGCCCTCGGGTAGCAGCCACCGCAGAGGGAGCCCTCTTGGCACTTAGCCTCTAGCGACCCTCTTCCTTCACCCTGAGCTACCCCCTGCCTACACACACCCCCTACCTACCCCTCTCTCTGCACTCTGAGTGGTTTTCAAACTTTCTGAACTGAGTACCCACTTTGAGTTATATTTTTTGGTTGCATCCCCCCTGGGTGGCCTGCTGAGGTGAGTCAGGGAGTGGAGGTGGCACTCCCTCCCTGGACCGCGTTGTGCGGAGCTGCCGGCCCTTGCCCCCCACCCCAAATAAAAGTTAAACTACACCTATGCCCAAGGCCCCCCCAACCCCTGCTGGCCCGGAGCCCTGAGTTCCCCCCACCCGGTGGGCCCTGGAGTTTTTATAACATGTTGAGGGGGGCCTCAGAGAGAAAAAGGTTGAGAACCCCTATTCTACAATATATACAATTGTAGACCCTATAACAACTTATTAAATTTATATTACTGTAGCGTGAACAGAGTCAATTGTCTTCACGTCCTACAACAAAAGTCTTGTACCCAAATGGATACTGCTTCTGCTAGTGACCATTATAGTATCATAGAGTTTAAGGCCAGAAGGAGCCATTATATCTAGTGTGACCTCCTGTACACCACAAGCCATTAAATTTCATCCAGATACCAATATAGTAAGCCCAACAACTTTAGTTAGACTAAAGCATTTCAGTCCTAAGGACAGTAAACTTTGTGCCACAAGCAGAAAACAGGAAAGACCAAAGTGCCACCAGTTCCTAAGATTCATAAATTCATAGATTCCAAGGCCAGAAGGGACCACTGTGACAATCTAGTCTGACCTTCTGCATAACACAGGCAATCAGACTTCCCCAAAATAATTCTTAGAGCATAGCTTTTAGAAAATATACAATCTTGATTTAAAAACGGTCAATGGACACTTCACCAAGATGCTTGGTAAATTGTTCTCTAATGGTTAACTACACTCACTGACAAAAATGTATTCCTTATTTCCAGTCTAAATTTGTCTAGCTTCCAGCCATTTGATCATGTTACACCTTTCTCTGCTAGATTGAAGAGCCCACTATTAAATATTTGTCCCCCACATAGATATATAGACAGTAATCAAGTCACCCTTAACTTTCTCTTTGTTAACCTAAATAGATTGAGATCTTTGAGTCTATCACTGTAAGGTTATATTTTCTAATCCTTTAATTATTCTTATGACTTTTTTCTGAACCTTCTCCAATTTATCAATATCCTTTTTGAATTGTGGGCACCAGATCTGGACAGTGTTCCAGAAGCGGTCATGCCAGTGCCAAATACAGAGATTAAAATAACCTCTCTACTCCTACTCAAGATTTCCCTGTTTGTGCATCAGGATCACATTAACTCTTTCAGACACAGCATCATGTTGGTAGCTCATGTTCTGCTGATTATCCATCATGACCACAAAATGTTTTTTAGAGTCACTGCTTCCCAGGACAGAGTACCCCATCCTGTAAGTACACCCTACAGTCTTTGTTCCTATATGTATACATTTACATTTAGCCATACTAAAACACATATTGTTTGCTTGCGCCCAGTTTACCAATCAGTGACCTGTCCTATTCACTATACCACTCCCCCAATTTCTGTGTCTGCAAATTTTAATCAATGATGATTTCATATTTTCTTCCAGGTCGTTGATAAAAATGATGAATAGCATAGGGGCAAGAACCAATCCTTGGGGGACACCACCAGAAAATATCCACTTGATGTCAATTAACCATTTGCAATTAAATTTCAAGACCCATCAGTTAGCCAGTTTTAAACCCGTTTAATGTGTGCCATGTTCATTTTATATCATTTTAGTTTTTTAATCCAAACGTCATGTGGTACTAAGTCAAAACACTTACAGAAGTCTCAATATATTACTTCAACACTATTACCTTTATCAACCAAACTTTTCATCTCATCAAAAAAAAGATATGTTAGTTTGACAGGATCTATTTTCCATATACCCATATTGATTTAATGAATATTAACCTCCTTTAATACTTTATTAACTGAGTTCCGTATTAGTCACTCCATTATCTTGCCCAGGATCAATGTCAAGCTGACAGCCCTATAATTACCAAATCATCCCAATTACCTTTTTTTAAAAAAATATTGCAATGGCAGGGAATTGATTAGGTAAGATATACTCGGATGATCCCAGCAGGCAAACCACACCACTTGCTTCTGGGGAACGCAGGAAAAAAAGAAAGTCCCTGCCACTCTGACCCGTGGGAAAATTCCTTCCCAACTCCAAATAGGGCAGTAAGTCTGACCCTAAGCCTGTGAGCAAGACACACAGCCAGGCATCTAGAAAGAGAATCTTTTGTGCTACCTTAGACCACTGGTCCACCCTGAATGGTGTCCCAGTTCTAGCTGTAGCCCATCTAGCCAGCTGTGCATCAGGGGAAATAATTCCTGCCTGACCACTGCAGGCAACCAGCTGGAGTCCTGAAGCATGAGATTTAATTATATAGAGCTACAAGTGTTATGAGCACGGTGAGCACACAATTATGAGGTGTAGCAACGTAGTTTCCATATCATTTCAGAAGAGAATATTTTGACAGAAGTCATAAGTCTCTTTGGCTATTTCTATCCATGCTTTTATCCTTTCTAGATCTTTGTATTTCTTTATACACTTCTCCAAATAAGTAAAAGGGAATATAATAATACTGTTCTATTTACTCCCATCTTCAGGTCAACACTGACGATGTTTACTAAATACAGCAGGAAAAAGTTTCCATTATGAAGGTCAGAGATTAACGCAGGAACAGCTGAAAGCAATTGGGTTTTAGCTAGCAAAGCTGAGGTGGGAATCTCAAATAGTGCTAGGTAATGCTGAATAGTAAGGCCATTTGGTCAAGCGTTCTTAACTTTTTCCACGTTGAGTTGAAGATGGAAAAAGTAAATATTATCCCTACATAACTGAGCGCTAGTTACTGAAAGCACGACACCCACATCTTTAAGAACACAAGACTGTTCAGAAAGCTGCAAGCGGGGACATTCTTTCCCAACCAGTGGATTACCACTGGTGCTACTGAAATGCCAGTAGTGATTCTGGTGGATCCAGTTTACCCCTTGCTCCCAGGGCTCACAAAACCATTTACTGGCCACCTCAACCACACCAAGGAAAGACTCAACTACCAGGTCAGAAAGCGCAGAATGACAGTTGAATGTGCTGTTGGTAGAGTGAAGGGACACTGGTGGTGTTTACTCACTAGACTGGATCTCAATGAGAAAAATATTCCAATGGTTATAGCTACCTCATGTGACCTAAATAATATTTGTGAGGCAATGGGGAGAAAAGCTGTCACCAGGATGGAAGGAGGAGATAGAGCAGACTTTGAACAGCCATACAACAGCCATTACAAGAGTTCAACTTGGAACTACGCAGTTAAGTGAGGTTTTAAAAGAAGACTTTAACAGTCAGCGATAGCAGTGCTCTCTACTGGAATGTTCTGTGGACCTGAAGCTTTGAGTGCTGTCGGGAAATGTGTAGTGCTTTCTGCATATTTACACACATTATGTTTTACCGAAGCTACGAATGATCTGGTGCTTGCTGTACATTTATAAATATGACTGGGGGGTGTTTTCCAGAACCTCTGAGTTTTGTGGTGCTGTACATTTACAAGTACTCTATGCTTTGAGCATTGCATTGCATTCTGAAATGTGTTGTGAAGAATAATTATTTAAAAAATAAGAAATTTGGCAAAAACAGTGCAGAAAAGCAATGTGCAAAAAACAGCAGGCAATACAAACTCTGAACTTTTAGAATTGGAAAAGCAGCAAAAATTTCTGTCCATTTCAGTATACAAATGTCATCCCTTGTGCTACACATACTGACCTATGTTGGTGTATGTTAAGCAGTGTTTTTCCTTGCAGTCACACAGTGAGGAATCATAGGGATTAGGATGTGGCCCGTGATGCCACATGATATGCTTTGGAGTGTCAGGACTGCTTCTACAGAGCTCTCTAAGGACTGCAAAGTGCGGGGAGCCAGATTTCTGGGCCTGTAGGTCAACCAGCATCTGAGTTTGCTGCCTGAGAAGCTCCATTATGTCTTGGTGCATCTCCCTTTCCCCTTCCTGCTGGGAATCCTAGCCTTTCCTGTCTCCTTTTTCATTCTCCATAACATCTGTCACGCTGGTCTCCAGGACCTTTGTTCACGATCTGAAGCAGCAATAGCTTGCAAGATCTTGCTGAACTAATCCTCTTCTTTCTCCTCTTCAGGATCAGGTGTTCTGCAGATGTGCAAGGGGCACCCCTCAAAGCCACAATGGCAGCTGCTGATAAAAACAGACAGATGTATCATTGGATTTATAGTCACAACAGAGAGGGAATAAGTTTCAAACTCCCTTCCCTTATTCCCATCAAAACTTTTCATACGACTTGCTTATTGACATTTCAGCTTTGAAGTGCCTCTGCACAGCACCACTCTTCAGCCCCAGCCATGGTGAGTATGGGCCCACGGGGGGCAGGGGAGGAATTCTGGTTGCATGAAACAATCAAATTGTGGTCCCTATTCCATTCTACGAATATAGAGCAATGGCACTGAATATTGGCACTATTGTCTATAGGCAGTGGTGGTTTTAGCTGATATCTCACTCCGGAGGGTAGCAAAGCCACAGACAGCACAGCTGCTACTGGCATCCTGAAGCCATCCGGGCCAACATGCCACTAGCCTGCTTAGTGCAATGCTGCCAGCTGAACTCACCATGGTGAGGTGTGGGAAAGTATCATCTGCAGAAGAACAAATAAGGCAGCCATCCCTAGAACCCTTCAGGAGAGGATTGCGGAGTAACACCATGAAAGTTTCATTGAGATCTCTCAGGAGGATACAAGGGACATTCTTCTGTACATAAACAAACTGCTCCGCATGGCCCTCTCCATGTCCAATCCAGCGGGGGAACAAAACGCAGATACCACCTCTCTCTATTTGTTTTACCTCCATCTCTTCCTGTATGAGTAAAACAACTAAAAGTTTATACCGGTGTCTTGTTAACTTGACAATGGGCCAGGAGACATCTTTACATTTAAACACTGTAAGGAAAAATGCATGCACACGCTTACCAAAGATCCCTTCCTCTTCATTGGGCTCATCCATATTTGGCTGCCAGAACTGACTAGACCATGGTGGAGTCTCAGACAGGTCTTGATTTGTTGTATGGTTGGACTCCCTCCCCTCCGCCCCACATCTCCCCTCTCCTCCTCTTCCCTGTTCATGGCAGGGGTCTACATCTCAGGCTCCTCCAAGGTATTCACAGTGGTTTGCAGAGTGCTGGTGGGGCCTCTGTCAAATATGGCACACAGTTTGTTTTAAAAGCAGATCAGCAGCTCACCACTAGATTGATTATTGGCCTCCCTTGTCTCGTAGCATGCCAACTGCACTTCCTTCGCTTTCCTTCAGCACTGTTTCTGATTCCTGTTGCATCCTTTTGCCTGCATTCCCCATGCAATTTGCTCATAGATGTCCACATTTCTACGGGTGGTCCATAGCTGTGCTTGCACGGCCTCTTCTCCCTATAGTCCCACGAGACCCAATATCTCTTGTATACTCCAAGCAAGAGCATGTCCGGTGTGTTGAGCCAGTCTGGTCGGCTGGCTAGTTACACATAACAAGGGAGAGTTCCTAGACATGTTCACCAAGGTAGACAATCAGGAAAAGGCATTTCAAAAATACATAGGTGACTTCAAAGGAGGTGGGGCTTTCAGTAGCTGTGACCCCTGGGCAGTGGAATTTACAGCTGTTACAAGAGCTGTGACTGTTGCAGCAAACAGTGCATTATGGGACAGGTCCTAGAGCACTGTTAGGGTCAATACACATCATGCAGCATGTACGTGCACACTCAGTAGATCACCCATTTCTCTACACTGTTCAGGCAGGTAGTTTTACTGCATTGCAATAATTAGGTGCTTATGTCTGCCAGAGACAAATCTGAGCATAGACACATGCACAAAACAGGTTGACAAAAGGCAACGTACACCAACCTAAAGTTGTAGTATAGATCAGGGCCTATTTGCCATAAGTTAGCTTTGGTTATATAGTGTAAAGTCACAAGAATTTGGTGATTTTTTTTCTGTGCACAGACAAGTGCATTACTCTGCAGCTGCTAGCAAGGGCCTTCAAATAATATTTTATGTCAATTATCCAGGCTCAAAATGTCAAGTTAGAAACAACTTGCCCAATGTGAAAAATCATAACCCTCGCTGAAGGAGACAAGCATTTCTCTACAGGCTGTAGAGGTATCATCCAACAGAGTTAAAATTTCTTAATGTTAACAGTGTATGTGGTTGGTGCTCCAGGAGACAAAGCATTGAAAAGAGGGCCCGGGGGGCAGGGGGGTTTGAAAAGGTTAAATTCCTTATGACGACTCCTGCCAGATAACACTGCTCTGCTTTCTCAACTCCCAATAAAAACAGTCATACTAATCAAGGGAAGGACCGTCACTGCCACAGAGAAATAAAAGCACAATCACTGTAACCATGGGTTTCAGAGTAGCAGCCGTGTTAGTCTGTATCCACAAAAAAAACAGGATCCAAGAACTTGCGTCTGATGAAGTGGGTATTCACCCACGAAAGCTTATGCTCCAATACTTCTGTTAGTCTTAAAGGTGCCACAGGACCCTCTGTTGCTTTTTACAGATCCAGACTAACACGGCTACCCCTCTGATACTTGAAAAAGAACAGGAGTACTTGTGGCACCTTAGGCCTGGTCTACACTAGGCTTTTATGTCGAATTTAGCGCCATTATATCGAATTAACCCTGCACCCGTCCACACCAGGAAGCCATTTAGTTCGACATAGAGCTCTCTTTAAATCGATTTCTGTAATCCTCCCCAACGAGAGGAGTAGCGCTAAATTCGACATGGCCATGTCGAATTAGGCTAGGTGTGGATGGAAATCGACGCTAATAGCTCCGGGAGCTATCCCACAGTGCACCACTCTGTTGACGCTCTGGACAGCAGTCCGAGCTCGGATGCTCTGACTAGCCACTCCCCCGGGAAAATTTGAATTCCTTTTTCTGTCTGGGCAGTTTGAATCGCAGTTTCTGTTTGGACACCGTGGTGAGCTCAGCAGCAGTGGCAACGATGCAGAGCTCTCCAGCAGAGATGGCCGTGCAATCCAATAGAAAGAGGGCCCCAGCATGGACGGATCGGGAAGTCTTGGATCTCATCGCAGTGTGGGGCGATGAGTCCGTGCTTTCCGAGCTGCGCTCCAAAAGACGGAATGCAAAGATCTATGAGAAGATCTCTAAAGCCATGGCAGAGAGAGGCTACAGCCGGGATGCAACGCAGTGCCGCGTGAAAATCAAGGAGCTGAGACAAGGCTACCAGAAGACCAAAGAGGCAAACGGACGCTCTGGATCCCAGCCCCACACATCCCGTTTCTACGAGGCACTGCATTCCATCCTAGGTGCGGCCGCCACCACCACCCGACCCCTGACCGTGGACTCTGAGGATGGGATATTGTCCGCGGCCGGTTCCTCAGCGGACGGGGAAGAGGAGGAAGGAGATGAGGAGGACGAGGCAGTCGACAGCGCTTACAACGCTGATTTGCCCGACAGCCAGGAGCTCTTCATCACCCTGACAGAGATCCCCTACCAACCCTCCCCAGCCGTTACCCCAGACACAGATTCAGGGGACGGATCAAGCAGTAAGTGTTTTAAATATCTAAACATTTATTTACAACATAACTGGCGTATTTAAAATATTAACATTAGCTAAAGTGCTTTAAAACATGTAAACATTTATTTGCAACAAAACAGGAAGATTGAAAATATGAACAGTGGGTAAAGTGCTTCAAAACATGTAAACAGTAAAGTCAAACAAAAGGGGAATCAGTGCAAAGTGTATCATGATTTGTCTTTTTTTGGGTGCCTCAATATATAGTCCGAACCATTTTCAAAAAATTGCACAATGTCCGCTTCATGATTATAGTGCCCAAAACCCTGCAGTCATTTGTCCCTCCAAGGGCACCTAAGCCAGGAACTGGTCAATGTAACCGGGGATAGAGGCGAGATCCTCCGGGGAGAACTCCTCATACACCTCCTGCAGGTGTTTTTCCAGCCTCATCAGCAGGTTCCTGGGCAGGGAGAGCTTATTAGGCCCCCCGTGGTAGGACACGTTTCCCTGCCACAACGCCAGCAGGTACTCCGGGATCATGGCCTTGCACAGCAGTGCAGCAAATGGCCCCGGTTTCTGCAGGCTGTCCCGGAGCATCTTCTCCTTCTGGCTCTCGGAGACCTTCAGGAGGGTGATGTCTGGCATGACTCCCTGCTGTGAATTAGGTAGGGGAAAGTTAGTATTGGGACTGCTTGCCCGTCCCTTTATAGAACTGCAACCGCCGGTTTACAGCCACGCGGTTTACAGCCGCGAGGGGGTGGGACAGGGGCAGAGTTCATGCTTGCAGGATTGCTGCCAGCAGAGACTCGCATTGCTTTCTATTTGAAAGGAGGCCAGTGCCACTCTTAAAGTTTTAAGCGGCCACAAGTCTACGGCTTACCATGTTTGCCAGCTAGACAAAGTCCGGTGTCCAGCCCTGCTCCTCAGCTCGCCACAGCAAGACCGCAGGCACTGTAGGCGAGGGCCGAAAATTCGACCTTGTCCTCAGTGCGCGTGTGATAGGTGCTCTGCATGGTCTTGTTCACAGAGAAAGACTATGTTCTCTGTTCACAGATACATTGCTCTGTCTCAGGAATTCACTCCCTTTTTCCAATTCCCACAGCCACATCTGCCCAGAGGCTAGCGCACATTAGGAGGAGGAAGAAGAGGACACGGGAAGACATGTTTGCTGAACTAATGGGATGCTCCCGAGCACAGGCAGCCCAGCAGACACAGTGGAGGGAGAACTTGTCCCAAATGCACCGGGCAAACATGGAACGGGAGGAGAGGTGGCGACAGGAGGACAGGCAGGCTACTCAAACGCTGCTTGGACTAATGAGGGAGCAAACGGACACGCTCCGCCGCCTTGTGGATGTTCTGCAGGACCGGAGGCAGGAGGAGAGAGCCCCGCTGCAGTCTCTCTGTAACTGCCCTGCCCCGCCACCAAGTCCCATACCCCCCTCACCCAAAGTCCAAACACGGAGGGGTGGAAGGGGCCGTGAAAAATTTCACTCCACCCCTGCGGACTGCTCTACCACTAGAAGGCTCTCATTCCCCAAAATTTGAAAAGTCCTTTCCTACCCGCCTCACACAAGACCCCGTCCAAGTTTCACCCCCCCGTTCCATGTGCGGTTGTTAATAAAGAATACGTTTCTGTTCATTTCTGTTTCCATCCTCTTCTTTTGGAGGGGAGTCTGTCTGAAGGGGGGGGGAAGGGGCTTGGTCATTGGACAGGACAGTCACCTTTAGCAGGGGGCAGGTGCAGCAGCAGGGCACATATACAGTGCAGTGACTAGTTATCCTGGTCAGTCTGGGAGGTGGTTTTCATGTTTTGTGTGGTGGGGGCGGTGGTGTTGCTCTGTGACTTGGTGGCGGGGGAGGGCAGTTACAGATCTTATGCAGCGGTCCTTACCCTGCATCACAGAGCCGCGCAGCAGGGGATCTGTAACCCTCCTCCCCCTGCAAGACAGTCACATAGCCGACACATACACGCAGTCCCGGCCAGGAGGGCTGGCAGGCTCCGTTGAAACAACCAGTCCACCACCGCGGAGCCTGTCATTCCTGGAGTTTAGAGGCATCATTTGCATCACAACCCTAAACCCGCCCCCCGCCACAGTCTGCGTCCCAGGTTTAAAACATTCCCGCGAAAACAGTAATAAAGACAACGGTGTCCATTAACAAAACAGAACAGACTTTATTTTTTGGGAAGGGGGTGAAGGGGGTATGTAAGTGGAGAGGATAGTCGACGGCAACTGGGTAAAGAAAGGGGGGCAAGTTCTGCCTCTGTGTCCACAAACTTAAAAGTCACTGGGTACCCTGCTCAGCCTTGAAACTGGCTTTCAAAGCCTCCCGGATGCACAGCGCGTCCCGCTGGGCTCTTCTAATCGCCCGGCTGTCTGGCTGGGCGTAATCAGCAGCCAGGCTATTTGCCTCAACCTCCCACCCCGCCATAAAGGTCTCCCCCTTGCTCTCACAGAGATTGTGGAGCACACAGCAAGCTGCAATAACGATGGGGATATTGGTTTCGCTGAGATCATAGCGAGTGAGTAAGCTTCTCCATCTCCCCTTGAGACGGCCAAAAGCACACTCCACCACCATTCTGCACTTGCTCAGCCGGTAGTTAAACAGTTCTTTTTCTGTGTCCAGGGCGCCAGTATAGGGCTTCATGAGCCAGGGCATTAGTGGGTAGGCTGGGTCCCCGAGGATCACTGTAGGCATCTCCACATCCCCCACAGTTATCTTGTGGTCCGGGAAGTAAATACCTTCCTGCAGCCGTCTAAACAGACCAGAGTTCCT